CTGCCATGAAATCTGAAATAGCACACGCTAACTAGAGGTCAATTTCTGATATTAAATATTAAATTGTGAATATAAACACCAAATTGGCCTCATTTGGTCAATAACTTAATAACTACATAAAGATTCATCAGCTACAATAATTAGCAATCAACAGCACTGAAATGTCAGCCTACCTAGTGGGATGGTAAAACTTTTTTTTTTCTTTGAAAATGGGGTAAGATTTGATTTAGCATCACTACAGCAAAGTCTTAGTTTCTGCTGCTGGACTGACCATAAGGCAGACCTGCCTTAGGCTGTGATGTCAAGGCCTAGAGTAGTTGCACTCTGCCTACAGCTACATTTTCCACATAATATATCAGGTCAGGTTTTACAATTCACCACAAACTTGCCACCATTTACCCAACACAAAGATTCTGTATTGACAGAAAAGAGCTTGTACTGAAAAAATGGCTGAATTTGAAAATGAGATGTTAATTAATCTGTTTCATCATTCCCTGATGAAATCACCCGTAACCTGGCTCACAGCTGCCTGACCACTTACAGTCAGTGGGACATCAAATGATAGGAAGCGAGTGAGTGACCAGTACGTTGTTGCTATTGTAATAAGACTCCCCAAAGTGGTAATATCATAAGATTAGAAACGTACATTAATACATAAAAAACATATATAAAATTTTTACACTGTGTAAAATACATGTAGGATTTTCAAACAAAAAAGGTTTTGATATGACAGTAACAACATACAGTCCTGTGCAAAAATGTAATTTATTGAATTTTAAAACAAAACGACCCTTAAGTACAAGTTATTCACTTTTCAGCCTCAAAAAAAAAAAAAAACAGAAAATTACACAGACGCCTCAACAACTTTGTGTACAGTGCCATTGTCCCGCTGTTCCCGCTGTCTCTGCCTCCCAACCTCTGGACTCACATTCCCAGAACCCCCAGTTTAGTATATAAGCCCGGGCTTCAGCTTAGCTCTTCGTTTTTCCAAACCCATACCGAGCCTCCTGTTTTCCATTTTGTGTGTGAACCTTGCTTTGGTTTTTGACTGTCTTTTGCCTAGCCCTCTCAGTATTGTTGTGATCTCTGGTTTGACCTTGGTTTTGGATATCCCCTTTGTTAATAAACCCTTTTTACTTTAAATTCTGTCAGAACCTGACATCCATTCTTTTCAGGAGACTTGTATTTTCTGTTTCTCACAAGTAAACTCTTACAAATCTACACTCATCAGGGCATAAAACCACCCAATCTCAGGTGTCCAGTTTTGGTGTTCTAGTGCACATGTTCCTCCTTTTTTGTCTCTTTTCTCAGTAAGAGCTTCTTGACAGCAACACATCCTTTCAGACCCACAGCACTGAGTTGTCTTCTCACAGTGGAAGGATGGACAGAAACACCTGTGGATGTTTTCAGATCTGAACTAAGAGTGTAGCTTGATTTTCTCCTCTCTCTCAAAGATGAAAGCTTTAAGTATTATTTATCTGATGGGGACAGTTTTAGTGGTCTGCCAGGTCTTGCACAGTTGATAGGATGATCTTTTAATCGTTGTTTCCAGTTTTGGACTCTCCTAAATCTCACTTATTTTCCTTTGACTTTCCCTTTTCTTATGCAAGTTTTTTTTTTTTAATCTAATCTCAGATATAGCTCCTTTAGCCATTTTAGATGCACAAGAGAAAGAAATTTGCAAAGCGCATTAAAGGGGAACATAATGTCAATGACACCATTAGGAAAAGGTTTTGTTGGAAGGATGCAGCTGAAACCGGTTGATTTTAAGATGTGAAGGATGGAAGCGTTAAACTGGCAGTACATAAAAGAGCGGGCAAATGTCTTTGGACTGTGGGAGGAAACCCACGCAGGCAACACGCATGCAAACTCCACAGAGAAAGGACCCTGGTCGTCCGGGTGGGAATCAAACCCAGTGCTACCCGCTGCGCCACTGTGCCACACGGCGATAAAGCAAAGTTTAAAATTATGACATTTCAGAGAGTTTTAACAATACGCAATATATCATGACTTTTTCTGACATCTGATAAGCTGGACCACACAAACAAGTGCAACACTTAAAAATACTATCAGTTACTAATTCTTCGATTATTTATACTCAACATTCCATATGCTACGCTAAATCACATCCAATTAAACCTGACTGCTCTCTTTTTAATCAAATAAGCAGTTGGACTGAGAAAATCCATAATAGACTCAGAAAAGCATATTGCCACATATTGTGAGGTAATTTATCACGATAAATATTGTCATGCTGCCCAGCTATTGAACAGTGATAAAATACTAGCACTTGATTTCCTAGTAAACATTAGCGACGTGTATTCCACCTAATTTTGATAGTGAAGTACACATAAGAGTCCATGAACGAATAACTAGTTGACCGCATTTGGCCAAAAACAATGCAGGGTGGTACACTTACCTTGTTAGGTGACAACACTGGAAAGCATGTTTTATTATTCACAAACAGCTGAGGAATATCAGCAGGATTTCGAGGTGAGTGAGAGACGTTAGCGGAAGCTGCCTCTTCAGATTAGCTAATCCGCTAACAGAGCTAACAGTTACGCTGGACGCTGATGAGGACTTCTTTTTTCTACACGAGGTACTGTCCCCCTACGGAGCCCGGTAGGGGTCACTAACGAGAAAAAAAAACTGTAAGGAGGGAAATCTGTCCCCTCAGTTTAGTAACCCGTACTCTCAGTTTATAAACTGTGCCCACGGATTAGTAAACTGTACCCACGGATTAGTTAGCTAGCTAACTGTGTAAAGCACACGCTACAGGCCACATTTACGAGATATTTTAAGAAACTGGAGAATTTTGTGACAAAAAAAGATAAAAATAATATACAAATAATATAATATAAATAATAATCTAATATAAAAGATAAATATAAGCAAATAATATTAACGTGACATAAAGCAGACGTTGCCAGAAAGTAGGTAACAGTTGGGTTATGTAATTGTACTGTACCTTTCACATACACCGTTTTCAACGGCTTTAACATTTCATGAAATTACAGTTTAACCTGACTGCTTAACTGGAGCGTTTTGTAGACGTGTATTATGTGAATGCACTTGTTTAAAACGAGGTAAACATAATCTTGTTTTTGCCTATATCATCCCACCACGCAGCCAGCGACGACTGAATGGAGTCTCAGCCCGGAGAGCACACTGCATGTCAAAAGGAATAAGTTAACGTTAAACTCTGACTATGCAAGAATTGCTGACTATTTATAGCCCAGTGAAAAATGGACGTTGAAATCAGGTACATGAGCGTCGTTTCAGTACAGTACAGTTTACAAATCCGTCAGTACAGTTTATAAACTGAGAGTACGGATTATTGAACTGCGGGGATCCTTACTGGGATCCGAACCTACCGGGCTCCGTACTTTCCCCTCAGTGGACGATGTGCCAACATGTTGTTTGTCAGAGAAATGTATTTCATTGTTTCTGGTCCTGGCTAACATCAGTTAGAGTAGTAACACTGCTTTCAAGTCTTGTAGTTTTGTCTGAGGAGACACTCCGTCCCCTGACTTGCGTTTTCGTGGTTTATAGTAATGTCTTCCAGGTTTGTCAAACACTAGAGGGCGCTGCCGAGCCAGTCCAAAATGAATAGGTTATTATTGAGCATTTGAGCAAAATCATAGTTTGTAAATGCTTTAACATTTTTACACAGAAGAGCACATTCATTCCCTGAACACAGGACAGCGTAAAACATTTAACACTGCTGTTATATCTTCGTGCACTTTTGAACTCGAGTAATAGGAGTTTATAACAGCGTCTCATATACATTCATGACGTCAGTGAGCGCCAGGTACTTCAGTCAGCTAACTAGCTGCTCCACTCACCAACCAGTCAGCACTCAGTAGCAGTAATGTGAACCAATCAACACTCAGTAACAGTAATGCTAGCATTCCAACTGCCCAAACCACGTTTGCTATAGAAAAAAGGAACTACACCGATACATTTCTTTGGTTTTTAGTGAAATATATCCAACTACTTTCTAAAAATTACAGGGAAAGACTTGGACAAGTGGTTAGAAACTATTTTAACTTTTGCAGTCATGTTTCTAAAATAACGGGAGAAATAGGAAGTAGCCAGGCTCCCCTAAAACTGGCTCTGGGGGGCCTAAGCAAGAGCCACCAGAGCCGGTTTATGAGGAGCCTGGCCACTTCCTATCCCCAACCCCATATATATATAACAGCGGTGTTAAAATGTTTTATGCTGTTCTGTGTTCAGGTAATTATTGGGTTCTTTTACATTTAAAATGTTTAGGCATTTATAGACTATGATTTTGCTTAAATGCTCTATATCAACCCATTCATTTTGGACTCGCTCGGGAGCGCCCTCTAGCGTTTGAGAAACCCAGAAGACATTGGAGAGTGGGAATTCTCATCTCTACAAGTTCTCTGGAGCCGCCATGTCAAAATGTTTACCAAAACACAGTCATATGGTTTTGGCAACCAGGAGGGTTGTTCCCTTAAGCAGACAACAGGGACTTGAGTCTGTTCACGATTATTTTTTCCTCTTCAAGATTACAGAAAAATTTTGGCCACTTGTGATTGGTGGGGTCTTGTGAGTATTTTGAGCCTGAACACATTTTCTGATGAGCTGATTTTAAGAAAAAAAACAGTTTTGTGTTGAGTTTGTTCAGATATCTGCCCAGGAAGTGTGGCGAAGCAGTTGATGCAAGACTTGCGCAGACAGGAACTGAACCCCTTTGACCCAATTTATTTATAAAGCCATGCACCATCTTGATTCATCTTATATAATCTTTGGTATAACACAACATACTCAATCAAATATATGAGTAAAACAGTCACGTTTCACTGAAGTTCTGTCTTCCTGTGATGCAACGTAAATGCCCGAATAGTGATTTCAGTAAGTTATTCGAATACCGGCACCTCGGACGGTAAACCGAGTACTTAACTACCCGTTCACATCCCCAATAAACACGACAATGTACAGTACATCCAACAGTGCTTTAAGAAGGACTCAGGGACTGAGGGGTGGAAAACTCTGAGGTTTCATTTATCTAGAGCAAATGAAGTTTACAGATTGCAAATTCTATCACAGGTGAAAGTTAACAAAAACAGGGTCTTTCTGTACAGTTGCTGTAAAGCTCACAAATAAAACAAATATATAAATACAGATATGGATATATTAAATAAGAGCAGCTAAACAAAAGGCATGCGCAGTAAGCAAGAGGTGGCATTGTCTAACATTTCAGTACGTCAGCAAAAGCGATAAAGCGTTGTACTTGCAATAGTAACAGTCGTCTATGAAACACTGGCTTTTCTCTTATGCACACACGCATACTCACACATACACTCACACAACCTTATCTGCAGCTCAAACGAACGAAGTTGCATGAACATAAGAGGTGGCTTTCATTATTAGTAGTGAATAGGAAGGTATATTTGTGTTGAGAGGTTTGTAAGTCTGGGATGCTAGCAGGTTTGCAAATAGCGCTCTATGCAAAAAGTGTACATGTAAACATATCTACACTATACAGACACCCAGGAGACTTATTACTCTGTCACCTACATTAGTTCACTTAGCTTCACATACAGTACGAAGTCGCTTACTGCACAAATCGTAACAGTACTGTGTGTTTACGGTAGAAGGGACAGATCCAGAATGTTGAAATTCAGAGATGTTCTTACAAAGAGGCACCGCTAAAACACGCATGCATCCACTTGCATGCAGGAGGGACTCTTCAGCAAAGTCAATTACAGATAAAACTTTAAAATAAGTTGTCTTACTAGAATAGCTTAATCAACCATGCTAATGTGGCTAACAGTGAATGGATACCACGAACTAGCATGTTGCCATTTGAATAATTCTGACTGGTATCTCTTTGCCTTCGTATACTATTTAGCAATAGTTGCTTTTTTGACCAAACTATTACTTAAATTGTGTTTTTTTTTTCCTGATGCTAACAAGGCTAACAGTGAATAGATGCCACAGTTAGCATGTCACTAGCATGATGTTAACTTGTGGCTGATTATTTCCGTTTACTGTTAGCAACATTAGCTTTTTTGACTGAACTATTACTTAGTACTGTTTTTTTCTTACGCTAACACGACTAACAGTGAATGGGAGCCACCAATTACTGGTAGCTGTTGGCTTTTATTTGTTGTTAGCAATGTTAGCCTTTATGATTGAACTATTCCTATTCTGTAATTTTATGACTTATTCTGAATGTTAGTATCTTTATTTTTTCATCAGGTTTGCTAGTGATACAAACATGGGAAATTCTGTGCTGGAAAATGTCTGGTCAGATTTTACGATTCACCACCGTTTACCCAGCATAACAGCTACACGTAGTGTAGCAGGATGGCAAGAGATCAAGCTCCAGGCTGGACACGAGAACTTTTTGGAACCATTTCAGTCCCCAGTCGATTTTAATACGACGGAGGCATCTTCACATTTTAGAAAACAGTAACGTTTCAGGCAATGTTTTGTGGATGCCGGTACATGGTAAGGCCTAAATAGTTAAGTAAAGCAATGTTAACACATAAAAAGACTCAACATTCATCAACAGCACTGTATAATATTTAAAGAGCTATGGTTCGATTCAAAGCAGCTTCAAAAATGTTGTAAGGGCCCTAAACATTCTACAAGACCATACAGGAACACACCTTCCAAAAACCATAAAATTGGGTTTTAACAGTGGTTTGACTAACAGTAAATCCAATTTGGATCATTTTCATTAGCATTATTGCTCTAAAAACTTTAGAATTTCATCAAGCATGTAATATCAGAGCCTGTCGATCCCTTTAAACAAAACTAAAGCCATTTTGTAGTGGTATTTCTAATTTGCGAATGACCAAACACAGCTTGATTAAAGGAGCTAGCTTGATTGAAATTTTGTAGAAGTTGTCTTTGAGCCTTAAAATGTCATTAAGACAGACTGTGAACAAGGCTTTCTTTGAATTGACACCCCTTAAATTATCTTGGTCTTCAAACCTAAAGGCAATAAAAGTAGTTTTATCTTCGGAATTTTGCAGTATTTCATATTTCGGCCTTCTTCTCAAGTCACTGGACCAGCCAAATGATCATCAAGCAAAACAAGAGGTGGAATGGGAGATGAAATATTCTATATATATGTTTTTACAGACTGAACAGGGAATAAATTCATCCTTCATCTTTGTTTTTTTTTTCTCTTCCACTTGGGTAAAATGAAACAATTACTGTACAAATACAATCTCTGTTCTTGCATATATAGGTTTGAATGCCCCAAAAAATGAACATAGTTCCTAATACTTGACATGCACAAAGAGAATGTTCCAGAAGTCAGAGGCAGCGGTGATTAGGATGTCCACTACTAAGCCTATAGAGGGAATGAATGTCCACCAGTCCTTACATTCACTATAAAAATGCCTGATTTACTGAAGCTGCTCACACAAGCAAACAGTAACATGGCAGGTGATTGGTCAGAATGTTTTCTTCAGCCAACCAATCTTGTTACTTGGATTGTATGTGCAAGCAATTGTAATATGTGTGACAGGCTAAAGTAAATCAGTCCCCAAATATGAGAAAAAAGTAGCTATTATTACAAAGTAGTGACAGAATGACGTCAAAAAAGACCTTCAGAGAAACACAGCAAGGATGCTTCTTAAGGGTTTACTGGACAATACAGCTAAACAGGCAGCTGGACTGAGGCACAACTGCTCTCCCAAATGTATGATACATCAGACACATACATTTGTGAGTACAGTAACACAGCAGTCCAGTCCAGTCCCACTGAAACATGGATGCAAAAGTGAAGATGTAATGAAATCCTTCTTTGACCCCTTTAACTCTAAGGACTTGGCGACAAGTCGACTTCAATTCCTCACTGTGATAAATATTGTCTGTCTGATACTTCAATTGGCTCCTAATATCAGTATATTTTGGTTGGCTGATGTCGACAGCCTGCAGTGTTATCGGTATTGGTGAAAATACGGCTGATAACACACAGAAAACAAGTAACTTTTCGGATTATAGTGCCACTGGGATAGGTATCTCCTGGTGACAGAGCAAAACTATGTCATAATACAATAATAATACAATAATTACACAAAACCATGTAAAAGGTATATAAACCTAACCTTTACCACAAACATCACGTTACAAAAAGTTAAGAAGAGAGCTAATGAAAAATGAGGTAATTAACAGAAACGTCCACAAAGCACTATGGCTCCACTCCCAGCGCTGCAATATTTAAAATATTAAAATAATGGAACTGTGAGTTTCTGCTGTTTATTTAAGTTTAAGAACTGTGACAGCTGAGAACAGCAACGTGTCAATAAATCTGTTGATCTGTTGAAATAAACCGAAAACTATTAAAGTATAAAATGAAAATCTAAAATGTACCAACCAATTAATAATATTATCCGCAGATATTATCCGTTATCACAATTTTTAGTCTGTTAAAATCCATATCGGTATCGGCCACAAAATGTTCATATCGGTCGGGCTCTAATTAATAAATTACTATCGTAGTACACCTCTTGGGAAAAACATAAATGACTTTGGGCAACTGAGTGATTCAAATGTACAATTAACCATTAACCTGCAAGCTTAATGTGTTATTTTTTTGTAGTTATGAGTGAGGAATTGTAGTGTGCGTCTACAAACAACTCCTTAGAACTTAAGGGGCTAATAGACGACACCAGATTGTTGAGTTGTTTTGAGATACACTCAGGTAAAAGAGCCTTTACAGCAGGACTGAACTGAACTGGAAGGGAGGCTATGGTTGGCCTGGGGCTGGAATAGATGATTGGTTGATTTAACTGTGGGAAGAGATGTCAGAGGAGCTGCTGCTGTTGCTGTTGGTCGTTTGAGCTCTCTTGATGTACAGGTTTAGCAGTTTCATCTGTCAGGGAACGATTTCAAGAAAAAAGAAGAGAGGATTATTAGCGTGTCATAGTGAAAAAAGGAGGGAGATGTTTTTACATTCCCTAGCAACTAATACACTCACATACATGCACATATAGTCACACTGGGGCTGTAAAAAAAGCCTGAAGGTGGTTCAACTACATAACTTTTGCAATGTCAGAATTGATTTGAATAGTTTTTAGTGATTATTTGTGCTAGGCCTTCAGTTCTGGCCATAAACATCAAGGTATGCTAGTCCAAAGCTACTGGCAATTTGGCTGTTCTAGATAAAATGGAGACATTTGAATCTTGTAATGGACATTTCATGTTTTATTTGAGGCTTGTAACAGACATTTATAGAAATTTTACTACTGCATGTAGCAGTTTTACTGTGACCAAGTAAAGAGCCCTAGCTTAGATCTACCATTGTTTGCCATTTCTAACATCTGATTGAAACACACTGGTCAGGCTACCACTGGTATTCGCAGTCAGTGACATTTCTAGGACTTCAAGATGTCCTAAAGTGATTTTTGTTCTCACAAAATTGGTTTCACACACTGTAAATTAAAACCATGGTTGGTTCCACTGTCAGTCCCTAATTATGTACGTCTGACACATTAGACTTTCAGTTCAGTTCCTGAAGTCCCAACCAATGGGAATCGCTTAGCTTTAATACTTAGATACCACAGAGAAAAAAAACCTGATTGGTTAACAAATTTCAAATTAACATGGCTGCTCACACAGTCAGTAGTAATAAAGAACAAATGTACACAACTGATACACACTCATAAACACACACACACAGGAGTGGAGTTCTTAGTTTTCCTACATCTTTACCTTGCTACCAGTGAGCTGAGCAAGATGTGGCTTCAGATCTTCCCCAATCACCGAATAGATTGCAACCAGGCAGAACACACTGGCTTTCCGCACACTGCTCTCAGTGTTATCATAGCCCTGAAACACACACATAGTCAAAAATTACAAAGAAAGGAGTGACGGCTGTGTGCACCACTAGCAGGTGTGTAAAATACTATGTGCACCTATAGTGGGTGTTTTAAAGGCTGTGTGCACCTGTGTCAGGTGTTTTAAAGGCCGTGTGTACTCATGCCAGGTGGTTTAAAGGCTGTGTGTCCCTGTGTCAGGTGTTTTAAAGGCTGTGTGCACCTGTGTCAGGTGTTTTAAAGGCCGTGTGTACTCATGCCAGGTGGTTTAAAGGCTGTGTGTCCCTGTGTCAGTTTTTTTAAAGACTGTGTGTACCTGTAACAGGTGTTTTAAAAGTTGTGTGCACTTGAAGGTTTTAAAGGCTGTGTTTACCTGTAACAGGTGTTTTAAAGGCTGTGAGTACCTGTAACAGGTGTTTTAAAGGCTGTGAGTACCTGTAGCAGCAAGGCTGTGTTTATCAGAAGGAGATGTTTTAATGATTTGTGTATGCAAAAGTAAATGTGCAGGCATGTGTGTTTGGGTATGTGTGAGTGGGCACCTGCAGCAGGCCAGGAATGATGTCAGGCAGCAGTTGGTGTAGAGAATCCTGGGGGATGCGCTCAATGACTTTGGTCTGCATTTTAATTGCAGCCAGGTCGATAGGGTAGTCTGCAGTTTGAACGATGGGACACAGCACCTTAATGCACTGCTCCGGGTGGATGGAGCCAGCCAGGGTAGAGGCCGCCTCCTCTGCAGCGCGTACCACCTGACCAACAGACGAGATTAGGTTCAACTGCTGCATAAACTACACCTCCTGCTTCATATTACCAACAGAGCAGTTATGTTTAATTTCTGAAATAATGCATTCCTGAATGCATTCATTTTACTGTGCAGCCCTGTAGGCAGAGACCCAGAAAGTTTTATGGGGGCTGAAGGTCCTACACCCCTCCTACTTTCAGTATTTAGCTGCACTCAGAACTGCTAAAAATAATACAATTAAATAACCTAAAAATTAAGTGTTTTGAGGATAGAACAGACCTGGGTGTGCTTTTAAACCAAAGTTTATGAGGACCAGCGATGTTCGGTTGTAAGACGTTGCTGTGTGCATCATGTAGTCATATACAAAGGTTTGACCACCCCCAGTCAAATTACTAAGTGAAAATAAGTTAAAACATCCTACAGGTACACTACAGGTAACAAACTTTAATAAGGCATTTTTCTGAAAATCTGATAGCACAATTTCTATTTATATGCTGACTTTAACACATTGGAAGAAACAAAATAAAATATAAAATGTGCCATAACTTTTGCACAGGCCACATTTTATGTTTCTTTTTTTCTCCAGTATGTTAAATTCAGCAAATAAACAGCAATTGTGCATTAAATGTGTGGAAGTGTGTTCTCTGTAGAGGATGTGTTAACTTATTTTCACTTCAAAATCAACAAAACATGTGAACTTGACCAGGGATGCACAAACCTTTGCATGCTGTACGCTGCTTACACTTTCAGTACCCCCAGCTTAGAAGGCCTTTCCATGATCTTGCCTGAGAAGGGGAGTGTGTATCTCACCTCTTTGTGGGAGTCTTTGTGCGCCTCCAGCGTCTTCATGATGGTGAGTTCTGCATAGTTTTTGAAGCGTGCAGGCTGACTGCGCAGGATCTCCTTCAGAACACGCAGGGCCAGCGCCCTAATGGTGTGCTGAGCAGGAAAACAACAAAATGTAGGTTACATTCAATTCATTCTTTCAGGCACTTTACTTTCAGTGTGGCCCTGAATCTATGCATAAATTATTTTTTTGCTCTACAATTCTGTCTATAATATAGTATACAGAGAGTATACTGTATTATTAAGAGTATATGCACTGTAAAATGTTTCACTCACATCTTTGTCCCCCAACGTCTCCAGCAGCAGAAGCAGCATTGTTTTAAAATGCTCCTCCCACACGGCCACACTGTCGTCACGAGTAACCTTCAACAGCTCCAGCAGGGCCGCTCGTCTCTCCTCCACACGCTCGCTGTGGTTGGACAGCTCCTTCAGCAGGTCACCAACCAGCTCCAAGTGCTGCGTGGGCCCTGACCAATGACGATAAAAACACACTTTCAGTATGAAACTGCATAGACAGCACTGAAACTCATATTAGTGAGAACACAAAAACAAATATTACCAGCAGAGTAACTCTTCGTATGCATAATTTTGTTTTCACCAAAATCTTGCCGACGACCTAAAGCAGAGAATTGTTTAATGCTGTTGTACCTGGATGTACTGCATGCTACATAGTAAAAGATGATTACATGAAACTTTATCACTGTCATAAGAAAACCTCATAAATCCATCCAGCCAAAACTGACAAACCACAGTTTTATCCATGAAAACATGGCCAGTAAATATCAATGTTTTTTGGCTTGGGAACACTTATATCACTCCCTGTTTAGGCTGAACAGATGAATCTGAATACAAAACACCATCATGTTTAAACAACAAACACATGTCAAATAAATCCAAACCTTTTCAGAAACATTTAGCATGAGAATAAAACAACACAACAACATTTTGTATGAAGAGAAAAAAATGAAAAATATGAAAAATAGAAGGTAATTACTAAAAACCACAACCGCAGAGAATTTTGGGCTACCCGGTCATAGTCCTACATTCTGTATATTATTAAACACTGTGAGATTGTTGTTTGAGTTTAACTAATGTGACAGTTACTATATAGCCACATGCAAAGTTTGCACACCCTGGTCAAGTTATATGTTTTGTTGATTTTTTAAGTGAAAATAAGTTAGCACATGTTCTACAGAGAACACACTCAAATATGACATTTTTCTGCAATTTTTAATGCACAATTTCTATTTATTTCCTTAGTTTTACAAATATGAAAACAAATATGAAATGTGCCATAACTTTTGCACAATCTTTGTTTTTTTCCAATAAAGAAATCAGCAATAGTGCATTAAAATATGCGGAAGTGTGTTCATTGTAGAGGATATGCTAACTTACTGTCACTTATTTGAAAGAACACAGCAAGTTACAGCACATTTTATATTCCTTTTGCATATGACTGCATACAGACAATAAGAACGCTGTTTTCCATTTCCTCCTAATTATCGTTTCTGAGGTAAGAAGTTTTCTTATGACAGTAATGACTTCAGCTTTATTGCACTCTGGCAACTAAAATGTACCACAACATAAACAAATACATGAAGGCCTTACCATCCCGAAACTGTTCCACATCATCGTCAAACATGGCCTCCCTCAGGGCCCCCTTGTCGTAAGCACTGATGGAGTCGGTGTAGTTGTAGGGGTTGTATTCTCGTGTTCTGGGCCCCAGGAACTGCCGGGGGGATGGCGTGTTCAGTAACGAGGTTTTATTATCCAGAGCCATCCTGCCGCCCTCCATCACGTCCGCAGCAAGCCGGGGGTCAGCAGTAGAGGACGCCACGCCACACTGCGTGTGTTTGAGTATTCATAAGTATGTGTATGTGTGTTGATGAGAGAGAGAGAGAGAGAGAGGAAGAGAGATATGAAGAAGGACATACAGACATAAACAAACTGTGAACTCCATATAAACTTCTGAGTGACAACATAAATATTATTATTGCTTTTCTGTTTGGAGATATTTCATCAAATGTATTGGAATACAGACAAAACATAAGGGGAAAAGACAGAATAGCTGGCCCACCCATGTTCCACCAATAAATTCGCTCTTTCATAGATAGTTGACAAGCTTTACAGATGCACAGAACAATCCAATTCAATCTAAAGAAACCCTTGGCAACATTCCTGAATTTTAAGGGTTCATTCACTTCAAACTTTTATTTGTTTTTTTAATTTTGTATGTGTGTGAAAGGTCATACTGCTAGGATAGCCTGGGTGTAGTTCTGTAATATGACTAAAGTTGGCTGAGCTAAACTTAAAAGAAAGAAATCCGAGTAAGAGTACACATGCACTGAGAAATCTGATTACTGAGCTAAAATCCAGCTCTCTTTATCAGATTTCTTAATCGGATTTCTAGACCTTACTCCGATCTAAGGAATGTAAGAAATCTAAGGAGTGTGCTGTTTACATGACCATTTGAATAATCAGATAACTGCAGAAGTCCGATTATGATCGGATTATTGAATGCATGTAAACACACTCAATGATTTGTCTGTTACATGTACCTCATTGCACATGTAGCATGATTTCATGTCAAAACCTGATCTATTAAAGAAGTGTGACCTTCTACACAGCTACAATATTAAAATCATTTGAAACTGAATAATGCACTATAAATTTAGATACTTTGACAAAGTTATGTGCTACAATTGCTACAATATGTACTGCAATTGCAATAGGTGGTTAAACAATCTGTGCACTACCTTTACTCCAAAAAAGAACAGAAAACTTGTCAAAACAATAAATTTAGCTTTTATTCTGTTTATCTTGACCACCGGTCTTGCAGTGAATGCACTGTCGTTAGCATTATCATTAGCTTGGGAATTCACAGCCAATATCACTACATAAAATCAATCGTTTTATTCTGCAATTTCTACGTTTAAATTCTATGTTCAGGGAGGTACACATGTCAGCTTGATTTTAGCCACAGAGAATGTCAGTTTGCACAGAATTAATATAATCTGATGTAATTTCTATTGCTTGTTTTATAGTAGGTGAAAGGTGCCAGAATCTTTACTGCACTGACATGCGCAGTCTGTGAAAATGGTTGGCATGGTGCATTCTGAGGGGACTAAAATCACCAGTAAAATGACTTTACCCCACCTCCTCATGTAAAACTAATCCATAATGAATAGTACTTTGGTGTGTAATAAGTATGAGATAGTGGGTCGATCTCTATGGAAGGAGCGTTGAGAAACTGCTCAATTCAGTTTCATGCTTTTTTAAAAGTGAGATTTTTTTTATATAAAGCTGCGCTGAAGCTCACCGCATCATCTTTCTTGGCATCACGTTTGATTGGCTCAAAGCTGTCCTCCTGGCTGCGGAAGCTGAAGCTCTGAATGGCCTCTGTCACTCCTCTTAGAGAGCTGTAGATCTCATCTGAGTTCATGTTCTCTGTGTCGTACTCCAGCATGCTGTGGGCATCGACACACAAACACAACAACAAAACCAACAGTGTGAAAAGACTGAACCCTAAAAGTCAGAGCATTTAGTTCAGCCCCAGTCAAAAACAGCTCTACTAGGACTACTGACTGACTGAGCTTGTAGATAATGATGGTGTCTCACCTTCTGACCACGTCAATCACTGTGGTTCTCAAGCACTACATGTTAAAATACCATGAGATGCAACTGCATTTGACTGGATTTGATCTGATACTGCAGTATTTTACTGGCAGTATAGGTTTTTATAGCATAGTGGGTAACACTGCTAGTCTAGGTTTCAGTTTCCTGCCCAGTCAAGCACACCATGATATACCCAATAAGAGAACTTGGTCAAGACTTCCAACTTTACATTTGTTAAAAATTCTAAGTCGCTCTGGACAGGAACATCTGCCAAATGCTGTATACAGCAGCTCCTGATTGGAGCTTTAATGTGAAATTTAATCTGCGGTCTCATGCAGAGCAAAACACACACAGCACAGAACCACAGCAAAGGTGGTCAAAAACTACTGTGAGGAAAAGCAGCACCAGAACAAGTGTTGTAGTCAAGACCGTTAGAGGCGAATCCAAGTCAAGACCGAGGCTGGAGAGAAGTCACAGTATGAAGAGAGAGGAGCTGTATGGTACAGATTTCAAACCAATCTGTCAATCAATGTGTTATGATGGGCACTGATGTGATGTAAATAGATGAAAAGTGATAAATAGATGAAAAGTTACAAATAAAAGTGAAAAATTAAATTTCCCCCTTACGTCAAATGTAGTCTATCAGTCATGTTTGGAGTCCACATTTCAGGCTGGGGGTGGTTTTCTTTTGTTTTTCCTTTTATTTGACAAAGATTAAGCTTTATTGAACTCATTGCTATCACTTTCTTTGCTCCCACATACGTTTCAGAATTTGGAACCGTCTAAAAGCTATTATTACTATCATTATTATCTTAGGAAGTGCAGTCAAGAACATTGATGTTATGTCCAGAAGCATAAGCAGATACTACTGCTACTACTAGTAGTAGTAACAATAATAACAGCAATATACTATTTTTTCTGGTTATTTTGAGACTGTTTCTAACACTGAAATGAACATGGGAGCAAAGAAAGCAAGAAGGCCACGTGATTCTGTTTGCTTTTAGAAATAATGCTTGAAACAAATCTGACAATAGAAAACACTAATAAAAAATATATACATTTTTGCAGTGTACTTTGTAGTTTTAATACAATAATGACATACAATATCAAGCATGTCTTGGTTAATGGACTACATTCAGGTTAAGGCTGAAACTGTGGAAATCAGATTTTTTTTTGACAAACTGTCACTTTATGATTTATAAATTAGGCATTTTAGTCAACATGACTACATGTCGTACTTCCTCAAGACCCCACAGGAAATGCAAAGTGTAATGAATGACTATTGTATAGGGGTGAGTGACCCCTCCATGCCCCTGTCCCCACACTGTGACCACCGGGCAGATGTGTGTTACCTGGGCGAGAAGGCCCGGCGCAGGGCCCGGAGAGGGGGGGTGGCGGGGCCAGGGGGAGGAGGGGGAGTGAAGGGACACGGAGGCTTTGAGGGACCATTCGAGCTCCAGCCCCATAAACGACTGAGCCAGGAACGAGGGATGAAGCAGGGAGGAGGAAAAACAGAGAAAGAGAAGAAAGTAGTAGGAAAGGAGGAAAGCAGAGGAAAAGTGGCTTTAGGCCTCAACTAAAGCCCTGTGTGTTAGAAAGGTAACATACACACTATTAGAATAGAATAAGTATGTGTTAAATTGTAGCAAAAATCCATAAACAAAGATGGGATTTGCCATCTTGGCGATTTCAATGTGCCAACCACTCATATGTACTGATTTTGATTGTTAATGAAATGAATTGTGATTTGTGGCATATCCACAATTTGGGCTTTTTTTATGGGTTACGTTTTATGGGAACACTTTACTGTAGTGCAGTTCATAAGGCTACATACACATGTAGATACCTACATATGCTCTTCATGATGACTGACATAGACCTACATAAACATTTATAAACACTTTTGTCAAAGGTGCAGCATTTGCCAACATTAGGCACATTTACATGCAGCCTACTAATCCATTTATAATCCGACTAATAGGCCAATCTGAATAAAATACATCCATGTATACAACTCAATCGGAATAGACCAGTTCGATTGAGGCCATTCGGAATACAATTTCTATCCGACTGAACGAGGTGGGTAATCCTGTAAATAATCCGTTAAATAGAATAATAAACATGTAAACGCCTATATCTGATTGCATTCCCAGGCGGAAAGTTCAAGTAGGTTCTGCGCATGTGCGTTGAGTCATAGCAAAGGTTTATAACTTTCAATATGGCGGGAGCAGAAACTGGTCTGCAGAGGAGACAAAGTTTATGCTTATCCAGTGGTTACAGTCATCCAGCTTATGTGTCTCAGAGCATGATGTCTTCCTCTCACCGCGTCCTTAATAAGTACATGTGAAGTACGTTTTCCTGAGTCTGACATCATTTTAAAGCAATTAAAAACACAAGCACGGCTCACTGCTGTGCCTTCCGCCAAATGACAGCCGGGATAGAAACCAGCTCCTCCTGCGACCCAGAAGGATAAGCGGTTTACAAGATGAGAGTGTGTGGGTGTGCTCACTGTTGCTTATCTCACTGGACTCATGTGATGCTTGTTGTCATGGTAATGTCTACACTAAGTGGTATGCTACGCATATGTGTAATTTTGAATTGGATTACTTGTAGTGTGCATGTAAACGGAGATTTCCATCAGATTGTTGAGTAGAGTGAGCACAAACACCTCAGTCTTGATCTATAATCGGAATGTATTCAATTAGATTGGCAAAAATGTAAACACGGCTATTGATATTGACATGGCATGTATGTCAGGTGACAGATTTTTTGGTGGCATTAGGTTGTCATGACACTTTCTGGGATGAAATGACAGACTTTGGAGCCCAGCGGATGTCACAGAGATATAATGTCGATAACAAGACACGTTCAAAAAAGCATTTTCTGTGGCCTATAGGTAGAGTAAGCTTCATTTCACCATGTATAAGATTTATGCTGTCAGTGTTATGTTGTCAGTTGTTACAACTTCCAATGTCATTTCACTTGAAAAAGTGTCATGATACAACCCAGTGTCAGAAAAAAATTGTCACTTAACACAGATTTTATGTTAACTTGATGTCAAAGTAGCCTTTATAAAAAACAATACCTATTAGAGTAAGCCTTTATAAATGTTTGTTTTTTATTTTTTATGCTTTATTGTGGATTCGGTACTTGTTTATGGATTTTGTTTAAAAAGCAAAGCTGGGTAAACTTGTCAAGAAGTACATGCAGATGGGAGGAGTCAAGCTTAAGCGCAAAACTAAAATTTAGTCTTAACTATAGAGAAGATATAAAAGACAACACAACTTAGCTGCCCCACAAAAGACAGTTTAATTGCATATTAGAAAAATTATGCAAGAGAACGCGCAATCACACCCACATACAAATTCTAGGCTGTTTAGTGCTGTATCTCATTCACGACTGCTGCAGTATTGCAGTGTATATGAGTTGGACCAATGTGCTGGAGTAGTGCTGAAGTAAGGGCCACTCTGTGTGTCAAAGCATTTGTGGCTTTTGGAGCAGTAGTAGGGTACCTGGGCGAGAGGCCTCCGTGGGAGCAGTTTGTGGCTGACGTCAGAGGACTGGTGCGGCTGCTAGAGAGGCGTGGAGGGGTGCGGCCCACAATGTTGCTTGGTGAACCCTTAAAATTGAAAGAAATGAGCTTGTCAACAGAAAAAAAAGAGTCTGCTTTCCTAATTGGTATATTGTCAGCCCCTCAAACCCCACTTTGAATGATGCAATCTATCTACATGTTACTTGTACATTACTAAAATGTGCACCATGACATATATACATTTTTTCTGTTGCTGGTTATCAACTGTAGCTGTCACCTTTCTTGGAACTTAAATAAAAAGCCTAAACTATAACAATAAATAAAGTCTTAAACAATATAAACATCAGAGTGCCGGGAGTGAAGCTTCCCAGCATTTTTAGTGGATTCGCTTTATTTGCTCTTTTGTTTGTCATGTTTCATCAGTTCTCTTCGCATAAAAATTCTTTTGGCTTTATAAGGGCTGAGCAATATGACAGTATATATCGTTATCATCATGAATTATGTCACAATATGTTATAATATGAGCATTTTGTGGATATCATCAGGACTTAAAGAACACTGACCAACTGCATGTTTCATTGCAGAGAGCATAACTGGTCCTGTTTATTTGGAATTAGTGCAGGGCAGAATGTGAAATGCTGAATACAAATCACTGTCTTCATAGTTTTGGATTGAAGTATTTTTAAATGTGGCACTACTGGCTCTTTCCTGACTGTTCCAACTTATCAGATGTCAAAAAAAATATATATTATAGCACACTATATTGTGAAAAGTTCTTGAAGTATCGTGATAGTATATTTTTGCCATGTCACCGACCCCTGTTTATTAGCTCCATTATAGCATAGTGAAATCTAAATGGGTTGTATTAGATAATGAGCCTTAATGTTAATAACTGCATGGCACTGCTGGGGTTTGAGGGGTTAAATTGTGCTCTTGAGAGGGTGGAGAGTGTACCATGGCTGAGGCGTTGCTGGAGTTTTTCAGGTGATTGTGCAGAAGCTTGGTTGCTCCATCCTGGAAGGTTTTGGGCAGAGCTCCCAGCAACATGGTGAACTCTGGAGTGTTCAGCTCGAACAGAGAGATCAGCACCATCTGAGCCGCCTGCAACACACATTCAGACTACAGTAAGAGGAAGGCTAACGGGCTAACTGTGAGAGATAGCACGAACCGCTTCCTTGATCTAGAAGTGAAGGAAATTAAGTCACCAAGGCAAAATACAGCGTTTCCTTCTGAAAGAAGGAATCACAAGAGTAAAAGATGGAATAGTGACAGAACAGGCTTGGTCAGTGAAGAGTGGCCCCAGCCCACATAGTCAAAGAAGTGAATGGAATACCTTCTGCAGAATTTATGATGCCAGGCAAAAGTCAGAGACCACCCTTCATTATTTAACTTCCAGTCAAAATGGTCACTAAGTGTAATTTTAATTACTTTAACATTTAACAGAAAATTACACAGAAGCCTCAACAAATATAACATCAAACTTTTTTAGAATTTAGTGTGACCACTCACGCTTTTATTACAGCTTTTATGCTTTCCAGGAGACTTGCTTTCAGTTTTTCAAAGAAATCTGCAGGGGTATTTTTCCACACCTCCAAAGTTCAGTCTTATAAGTTGGGTGCATTTTATGCTTCTTTTTTATGCAAATTTTCCTCTTTTTGTCCGTCTCCTTTTCTCAGTTAGGCTTCTTAACAGCTAAACATTCTTTCAGACTCATAGTGGTGAGTCGTCTTCTCACAGTGGAAGGATGGACAGAAACGTGGATTTTTTCAGATCTGAATCAACAGTGGAGCTTGATTTTCTCCTCTCTCTCAAAGATGAAAGCTTTAAGTCCTGTTCATCTGATGGGGACAGTTTTGGGGTCTACAGCAATCACTTGCATGATTGTGAGGAGTTACATTTTCTATGTATCTTTTAATCATTTTTCAAAACTGTTTTTTTTACTTACTGTCCTTTGACTTTCTTCTTGCTTATATTAATGGATTATCTTAAATATAATCTCCTCAGAAATATCTGTTTAAATATGAAACACTTGGACGTAATGGTCATTTTGACTGGAAATTAAATAAATTAGAAATGGTCTCTGACTTTTGCACAGTACTGTATATTTCGTTCATGTCTATTAAACTATCTTCTGCAGAACATAGATGATATAGACACTTATTCTGACTAAAGGCAGGGTAAATATTACTATAATAATATATCTATTCAAGTTGACAGCAGTGTTAAAACCATAGAGAGATTAGAAGAAACTGTTAGATTCCACAACTTAAGCTGACATGCTTGCTGGTTAAATATATCATCAAACCTCTTCCACAGCACCAGAATCGTTAGATATTAACCAGATGAAAGCGTTGCATCATAGCAGAATCACATACTCATATACACTGCAACAAATGGTATCTTGACAAATGAAATTATCATAAATCTATTCAATATATCTAATATTTTTTATTTTGAGATTACTGGAAGCTTATTATAAGATTAGCCAACTTATTTCTAGACACTGTTACTTGTTTTAAGTGGGTTTATTAAGTGAAATGATCTCACTACATTGGCAGTTTTGCTTGTTAGATATATCGACTAGACTTTCATTTGCCAAGATACCATTTTTTTGCAGTGTACACATTTATGAAAGAACACAGCCCTTTACACGTTCGTCTCACAGAGGAGATGTTAAGTCGTTTATCTTAAAACGGGGAGAGAGAAACGTCCTCTTGAAGGTTGTCAGACAGAGCAGGAAACTTGAGCATGGCAGGTCATGCATGACGGTCAGGGGGATCAATAGTCAGAAGACACTACCTGCTTGCATCTCTCCTCCAGGTTGCCCTCCACGGGCAAAGAGGCCAGGGAGCCGAGCCTGACCGACAGCTCCTCACTCACCCAGCTATGGAGGGTCTGAGTGTTGGGGGTACAGCGCACACACACACAGGGTCAGGACAGCTGAAGTAGGGGACTAAACACGACTCAAATGACTATGGGTGAATGGCTATCACAGCCCCAAGCTGATCCTGATCTAGATTATTTAAACTCTGCTGTTCAATGAAAAAAGTGAAATCTTAACAAGCCAGAAAATCTTTAACATGAGCATATATATTATTATTATTATTATTATTATTATTATATTGCTTTTTTTTTAAAGATTAACAGACTAGACTAGATTTAGATTTGTCCACAATTATTATATTTAGATAAATTAGCTGAATTATATGGATTTCTTAAAATAAAATAAGAAACTTTGTTTTAAAGGTCTCTGCTATGAAAAAACAAATTTCAAGACACCTTTACTATTTTTAATTAAAATAAAAACATTTTAAAACATTGCATTCTTATATACTCTTTCAAAGCGGAGAGCTTCAAAATCTTTCAAGCCAGCTGAATAATCTTATACATACAAATCTAGTCTAGTCTGTTAGTCTTAAAATAAAAAAGCATGCTCTACTAACTATTTTCAAGATTTTCTGGCTTGTTAAACCTTAATTTTTTTGCTATTTTTTGCAACTCAAGAGCGGGTGAATTATGTCCTTTTTAATCTTCCATTTCTTTGGCATAAAGAAATAAATATTTCTTATAATAAAACAGATTATTTTAATGTTTTTTTCATTAAAACATCGTTGTCTATTTTAAAGCATGGTTCCCCCAGAGTTGAGCCAGAAGTTATAACTGTTTATTAGTGACATTAAAGTGTTTACGACCTAATTAATAATCATTAATTAACAAATTTTAAACCATTCCTACACCTTTTATAAGTCTCATTGTAAAGTTGTACCAGGCGTTGTCATTTCAAGAAATTTTGTATCGAATGAGGTTTAAAAATGCTTAAAACAAGATTAATACACTAGTTTTGGCTCATTTTAAATTACTTTTCCTGTTATTATTATTGGATGAAAATAAAGCAACTTAAATCTAGTCCTAATTCCAATCAAATATTTACTGATTTTATGATATTAAGATAATTTACAGTTCAACATCTTTTCAAGTAAAATTTTCTCACCATACTGACAGATAATTTTATTTGAATGAAGTAAACTCATTCTTGATATGGTTGTATTTTTCTTCATTTTCGATGCTGATTTTTTACAGAGTGGGAAGTGACACATGCCTGACTTCTAAAAAGTACTGTATGTTGCAGTAGTAGCAGCTACTGAGGTGCTGAAACTTCAAATTTTTAGTTCATGCATTCACACCAAGTTTGGATATCAGGCTCAGTTGTGAAACACACCCACCTTTCTGACATCTGAGCTTTTGGGTTCCGTCGTCCAGGTGATGATTCGGGACACAGCTAGTCGCGTCTCACTGGAGTTCACGAAATCTGTGGGATCCATCTGCCTAGCCAAGGACTCTATATACTTCAGAATGGCCACCTTCACCTACACAACAGAGACAGCCAGCTCAGATCACCCCAACCAGGACAAATTAGAGGGGACTATAATGATAGATTTATATCTTCACTAATCAGGCAATTGCAACAAATTAGAGAACACAGTTAAAGCTATGGAAAATCACTAAGTGACATCAAAGTCCACCAACCTTGAGGTTTGGGGTCTGCGTCTGATCGACAATAAAGCGCATAAGGATGTTGAACTGCTGGTCATACGGAAAAGAATCCCTGAGAGGAGGAGAGAAAAGGAATGAAGAAAAAATGTAGATACTTTTTTTGTGTGTTTATGTTAGAAGCTGGTAAAAATCCTAGAGAACTGAAGGATGGAGGTCAGACCTGGTGACGTCCAGGGCTTTCTGCACTTTGGCCTGGACAGAGCCCAGGAGGTCAGCGCCCATCTTCTTCAGCAGCTGTGTGAGTAGCACAAAGAGCCAGTCCTGCAGGTCATCTCTGTGCAGCGTGATGAAGTCCACCAACGTCTCCAGGAACATGCTGAACACCTGCCAACAGAGCAGATATTTATGATGTGTCACATAAAAAGCCAAATATTTCATAAACAAATTAGTAATTAAAGTGACAGAGAATGCTGACACAAAGAACCACACTTACTCTCTGATGCCCCAATCCAAACCAAGGCAAGAACATGCAAGAAAACAAACATTATGTTAGTATCACAACACTGTGTACTTTAGATAACTCAGTACCAGACAACTAAGTAACTGAGTGATTACTACTAGTCATTAACTATTGACAATTAATGAAGGATGCCTTTTTGAAGTGACTTACCTTGCTGTGAGGATCTGCAAACATCCTGGTGAAAATCTCACACAACCTCTTCAGTTCCACACGGCTGAAAGAAGGAGAGATCTCATAAATAAACCACAAAAATCAGGCAGATCATGTTCCTTTACCATTTGCCTGGATTTATATACCAGCCAGTATTAATCAATCCTATAAGAACTGGTTATAACCAAGAACTACTGACTACACAGTTGCTTGTAACTCAGAATTTGTCTGGCCTGCTAACCAGGAGTGGTACTGATAAAATTCATTCCAACCGATTTTCCAAATATACCTCAGTATCACATTATCAGATGACATGAACCCATGCGTTCTGATAAGTGAGAGTCAGTACACATCCTCAACAGGGACAGTTAGATATGACATTTTTCTGCACATTTTAGTGTATATTATATATATTATAAATAAAATGATACTTTTGCACAGGCCACATTTGATGTTTTTTTATCCTATTATGTGAAATTCAGCAAATAAACAGTAACTGTGCATTAAATTGTACAAAATGTGTGTTCTCTGTAGAGAAATTATTTTCACTTCAAATCAACAAACCATGTCACTGCTTGTTTTGCTTCTCTTCAAATTCAAGTAAAAGCAACCTTAAATGGTGTTGTACACATTAACCATACAGAAAGATGTTCTTTCATAACAATCTGAAGCATCCAGCAAATAGCATACTATGTCCAAACGTATCCAAACACTCCTTCTAATTAGAAAATTCAGCTACTTTAATGGGCACTCACTGTCGACACACAGCTTGTATAATCTCCATAGGAAAGCATTGGCAATAGAATAGGACACACAAAGAGCAGCTGCACATGAGCATGAAGGTCACCATGCTCAATCCCAAGAATCAGCTAGAGGGGTATAAAGCATTGGGCTGTGGTGCAGTGGAACACTCTTCTCTGTAGTGATGGAGTTCCATCCAGTACTTTCGGGATGAGCTGGAGTGATGAAGATCTAATCATCCAACATCAGTACCTGACCTCACTAATGCTCTTGTGGCTGAATGCTATCAAATCTTCCCAGTAATATTCCAATGTCTTGTGTAAAGTCTTTCCAGGAGAGTAGAAGCTGTTACTGCAGCAAAGCAGGACAAACTCCCTATTAATAACTCACCTGGACGAAGAAACCCAAAAACTCAGATGTTGTATGACACCAATAGTGGTACACTAGTACAGATGTATACTGCCCACCAGTACCCAAACTCCCTGAATTGCACCAATGAAGAAAGGTCACAATAGGTCAAAAAAAAAAAACAACACAATTCCTGATAAAAAAGATTTAATATTAGTACCTGAGGATTCTTTGGCTCTTCAGAAGGTTCTGGAGGCCCAGCAGACCTTCTTTGCGCTCAGACCAGTTGGAGCTGGCACAGTGGTTTAGGACCTCGGCTACGTCCTCCGTCTGCCGCAGGTAGTGTGGGACTCCACCGTTGCGTGAGCTGTATGACCGCTCCGAGAAGGCGCTGGACGCATCGCTGTTGGCGTCATCATCCGAGTACATGCCAGGAGATTCATACCGTTGCCGCATGGGCCTCCGCTATGGACCAAAGAGAATGACAGAGATGACAATAGGACTTCTGTATAATCAGAGTATTATACTTAGTATTGAAGTTCAATGCATGCAGCAAGTTTTCGAGGATCTGCTGTCATGAGGACAGAGGCATGCAGTGGATTGATGATTACTGGCAAAAAACATAAGCTGTTTTCACACCTAGTTGGTCTGCTAAAAATTGGTTGGTTTCACAATGCAGTGTGATAAATTATACATGAGGGTGTTCGTTGATTGGTCCGGAATTTGGCAGGAATACATTCTGCTTGCCATACATTCTGAATACTTTCATGTTTGTTTACTTTCACTGGCATATCATTGTATTAAGTCCAGTCAAAACCACCACTAAGTATAGGCTATTCATTATTCAGGAAAACTAAATGCTATGATTCTGAAAGGATGTGTAGCTGTCAGAAGCCCTCACTGAGAAAAGGAAATCGAACTCAAACAGAGAAGCTGCTGGTGTTCTCAAAACAATGGACTGACCACGCCAGAGTCCAGATCTCAACATCTTTAAATGTGTTTGGGATTACTGGGATTTTGAGAAGCAGAAAATGGAACGTTCTAAGAACTTCTAAGACTGAACTTTGGAGGTGTGGAAAAAATATTGCTGGATATTTCTTTGAAAAATTAAAAGCAAGTCTCCTAAAAAGAATGGAAGATGTAATAACGGGAAAGATTGGCCTAATTTGATATTACATTCATTTTCTGTTAAATATATGTGTTCTGCTTTTTTTCTGATGCTGAAAAATGAATAACTTCACAGGAAATTATATAAATAAAGCGTGGTCGCTGACTTGTGCACAGTACAGTACTATTTTATTGCTTGTCTGATATTTTAAGCTGCAGCTCATGTTGCTAGAACAATATGAGTGTCTGTTCAGAGTTACATGTTAAACAGGCAGGTTATGCAGACAGTGCAGTGATGCTAAAGAAGATGAAAGCATGCTCTGATATTGAATTCCCTCATTTGGTACAGACCATTGCTACAAATTGCTTTACTACCGGCAGTTAACAGAACCAAGGTTTAATGGAAATATACCAAGACCTGTAAGACCATGGCTGAGTTGGTCAGTGTGCACCCGGGTACAGGTGGAATGTTCACATTTGTCATAACAAAACAAATAAAACCACCAAATATGGCAGGTGTGAAAACAACCCTACATGCAGAACATTTAAGTCAGTATGTTTTAAAGTGTATCAGTTTGTAAGAGCACATTTTATAGGTAATGTCTTGCATTTTGTATGCAAAGTCTTTCTGTACTGGAAATGAGATCTGGAGATGATGAAGATATGGATGGAGAAAGGGGAGACGCGGTCATACATCAATAAAATACTACCTTATTCCTGGAGTCTCCTAAAAGCTGATGGGATTTAAGATAGCCAGAAAGGGAAAAGCAAAGACAACCACATATCAGCAGGGCTTTCAGTTCAGGATTACACAGGTCTGGTGTTAAACGCTACAATGCTAACCACTAGTGTTATGTGTTACGTGTCTGTTTCCCCTACAACCAAAAAAGGCACTGAATGAACTGCTTTAACCCCTTAAACTCTAAACGCCCATAAACGGACTTACATTTCGGTTCCCTACTATCATAGCTACATACATATACAGTCGTATGCAAAAGTTTGAACATCCCTGGTCAAACTATGTTTGGTCTGCAAATTTTAGTGCAGTTTCTAGCTATTCGCTGAGTTTAACATTTTGGAAGAAAATAAAACATAACTTTTGCACAGGCTACATTTTATGTTTTATTATTTTTTTCAATGTTAAATTCAGCAGATAAACAGCAGTTTTGCATTAAAATGTGCAGAAGTGTGCGCTCTGTAGAGGATGTGTTAACTTTTTATTTAAAAGAAATATAATAAAACATTATCTGACCAGGGGCGCCTGCATATGACTTTAAGTTTCATAATATAAACAATATGTCTTATGATGAATTAACTGAACAGTAAGTCTAAGGTTTAAGGAGTTAAAACTGAAGCAGACAAATGCTTGTGAAATCTCACCAGGGCATCAGCCACTGCTGCCTCAACCTCCATGCCAGTGTTGAGGATCCGCATGGCATTGACTGAGGCAGAAATACGCGCCTGATGGATCAGACCAAACGGATCTGAGAGAGAGAGAGAGAGAGAGAGAGAAAGAGAGAAAGAGAGAGAGAGAGAGAGAGAGAGGGGTTGAATATATGCAATATTGTGTTCACAAAAATATCCTTTAGCAATATTGTTTACAAAAAAATCTTAAAAGAACCACAGTTTATACCACCAGAAAACAAAAGGCCCCAAAAGCACAAAAATATGTATGTATATAAAAGCCAATTTGATGCTTTATGCTACAATCTGTATGTTTTTATCCTGTGTAATAAAAATGTTCTTGATTTAATTGAGTAGACAATCATTGTTTCAGACCTAATTCAGCTTTATTGTTTGACTGACTGTAGCTTTAAAGCTCCAAATTAATAGAAACAATTACCAGATCGCAAATAAAGACATATTCAATGTGCCATTTCAAAATACACAACAACTGAATCACAGCATAAACATTACAAACATAAAATCATAAATTCATCAACTATACAACAAATGATATAAAGAAAAATATACAAAATCAAAAACAAAACAAAAAACAAAAACTTTCACACTTCACACCTTACAGAGCCCAGTTCAGCTGGCAGATGTAATCACGACTGTTAGACTAAAATCTAGACGGTAAAATTCATAAATGCATTCTGCACATTTAAAAAAATGTAAACAGATGTTCCTGGATGAGCTGCAAGACAAGGTGTTACGTACAGCTAACCGCATTTCCTATGGACCTCTGAGGTTGTGTCACTTTGTAGTTGATGTCATGCCAAAATAAGGAAAATCGTACTGTCCTGCTTTACTGAAAAACATACGGGGCCAAACATTTCTGTTTACCACAGCCTTTTGCGAAATACTTTCTCTGGGCTACAAAATGACGAAACACATAGATGTGAAGTGTGAAACGTGAAATGTGGCTCCCCCTGTGGGTGTGGAGCTGGACAGTGCGATGGTCACATGCTGGAGTGACCCGGTGGGACATGCAGGTCACCTGTCTGCAGAGTGTCGCCCGCTGTCAGGGCGCTGGTGGAGCGGGAGTGGCGCCGGGACGCTGTGCAGCATTGAGGAGGGACAGGACACCCAAACACAGTTCAGATTATGAGGCCTAACCAGCCATTCAGCTTAAACTCTCAAACATTCTTGCACAAGTTTTCTTACACTTAAACAGTCCCAATGTGTCCCACTACTTTGGGTATATATGTGACTCTTAGCTGCATATTTATCTTTTCCAAACTATTATTAAAGGGCCCATATCTTACATTCATCCTGTTTTTTCCTGGAATTCACTTATAATATTTGTGTAAAGTTATGTAAAAAAACAGCCATAATTCATTTTTACAGGATAATTTTTCAACCTCTCTTTATCCCTTAGAATTAAACAGGCTGTTTTGTTACTGTGCCTTTAAGGCTGATATATGTAAATAAACTCTATTCTGATTGGCCACCCCATATTAGGCCAGAAAGCAGTCCGGATTTAAATTTTCCTTATAACTTCGAAAATCGATAATTTTATGGCACAGACTAAATTACTTCAACACTACCAAGTACTGAAAACTTCAGTTATTCAATACCAAATTGCCATACCTGGATCAACCTACTGAACTTGTACAGTCAAAACACGTCAGACTTTTAATAGGCTTGGACTTTAGACTGAAATCCTTTTGTATCGAGTGCTCCATACCTTCATTATGTATATTTTATTTTAAAAATGATTGAAGATTCCAATCATAACACTACCAAAACTTTATCAAATGTTTGACTCCTGTTCAGGAGTGACAGCTAATTTTGAACATAACTCAGTACATGACTACCAAACATGGCTTTGAATAACTGTACACACATAAAATCAGATCATTTTTCATCAAAATGCAAAAACGTTTACTTAATTGTAGAAAGTAGTAGAAAACAGAAGTCGGTAGTGTCAATTCTTAACATTCAGACTTTGAGACACATTTAACTTATGATAAGTCTAAATCTTTAAACTTCACTTCAAAAGAAATTCAAAAGAAAACAAATATCGAAAAAACACAAAAAATTAAAGTATTGTTTTCACATGTTGAAATTCAGGGGTTGGGACAGACTCCTCCCCATAGAAACTACAAAATGATGATTTTATGTTTATGTAGTTTACTACTATCTCTGTTAATGCCTTTGTTTTAAATTGTTCATAACATAAGCCTTGTAAATATCTAATGTCTGAATATATTTTTTAATAGCTTTTACTGTGGGACTGCAGGTTAAACTAATTCGGTAGAATGATCCACCCAAGCAGTCTGTCATATAAGTGCTAGAGAGCCAGTGAGCGCATTTGTTAAAAAATCTAGACTGCTGATCGGTTGTGTAAATTAGATATTCATATTTTTTATTTTATTGATTACTCTGCAGTCAGTAAACACACCCACTTCCAGCACCTCACACTCATTTTTGGTTTGCATTTAAAAGTGGGTATCGATACAGGAATCAGTATCGAAGTGGAAGTATGGACATGTAAACATCTTAAGCGATACCCTGAGCTACTGAGATCACAGAAAGGGAGTGAAATGTGTGGACTTGGGTATTATTCCCAAGGTAGTACTGTCACATATATGATACTGCTGTCCTCCAAATAAATCTGGTTAGTTTTTTAACATTTTAAGGTAACACGCTTGTTTATTTAGAGCCAGGTGTCACCAAACTTTTGATGGGCAGTGTACATGCTGGGAACAATACAGTGAATAAAGATCACTGCTACAAAATTTGCTTAGACACGTTACACACCAACATACAGGTATTTTCCAGAGTTACAGCATGCAGGTGAAGGAGGAGGAGATCAGAGAGGCGAAGAGGAACAGGGACAGAAAGTGGCAGCTCAGCATACAAAAGCACTGTTATCCTGACTAAACCACTAAAGCAAGACTTTGGAATGAATAAATGTGCCTGACTATGTTAATCTCCTCATTTGGTTTTCACTCACATTAAAGGGGAATACTGATTTTTTTTATTTATGCACAATTTAATTGTTAAGATGTAAACAAGGTCATTTAGAGTGGTTTGATGTGAAATGATTCATTGTAGAGAAACTTACTGACTGATTTCTTTACACTGGTGGTGACAGGAACTCAGGGCCGTGTTGTTTACGACTCAAATATAGCCATTTTATTTATTTTTTTATTTTACTTGCTATGCAAAACCACCAGTGAACTTTGTAAGGGTTTCATGTTGTATTTTTTTATGTGTTTAAAGATCATTAGTTTGCATTACAATGGCCTTTTTTAAAATACATTTTATGCCAAAATCTCAAAACTATCATGAAATAATGTTACAGTCATTAGGCAGCAACTAGAGGCGGGCAGCATGACAATATTTTACTGTTATACATTTTGTTATTGTGATAAAAAGTAGCATTTCTTAGCATACTGTGCATATCATCAGCACTTAAAGAACTGTATCATGTTTCATTGAAAAGAGAACATAATTAGCCCTGTTTAACTGGTTTAAGTACAGCATGTTTTTAATAACACTTTTTGAATTTGGCTCTACTAGTGCATTGTGTCTGTGCCAAAAATATCGTGATGCATATCTTTTATCATGAAACTGTATCACAACATGATATTTTTTGTCATATCATCCACTCATATCTGTAACTACTTTGCATAATTGTTGTTTTTTTGTGACTTTTATTTTTTTACAGATATTAAGTGCTTTGGACATCTGGTTCCTATCACCACCATTGTGAATGATGCTGATTCAAATTTCTCTAGAATGGAGCATTTCACAACCACTCTGAATGACTTTGTTTACATCTTACACTTTTAACTATGCAGAAATTTGGAAAAATAGGTGGAATTCCCCTTTAACACCACTCCTGGACTAAATTACAGTTGTCTCTGTGGATTCCATTCATTTTGGTGACTTGGTTTATTCTGTACAGAATCGTGACCTGTAGCCTCCACTGTTCTCTGTCTTTAAGTGTCTGTGTGTAAGAGAGTGAGTGTGTGTGACTCACCCAGTGGCGTGAAGCCCCGTGCAGGGCTGGTGTCTCTGCTGCTCTCTCTGCTGGTGTCACGACTGCAGCCCTGACTCATACTGGGCCGTGGGATACGACTGCCCCGCACTAACACCCCCCCATACACACACGCAGAGCAGCAGGAGAGAAGAAGGTGTAGCAGTTAGGACAAAAACAGAGGAAGAGACAGGGTAAGTGACACAGGAAGAGCAAAGAAAGGCAGAAAGAGAGGAGAAAACAGGAGAGGACATAAAGGTAGCTTCATGCACTGGAGCAATTCAGTAAGTATAAGTATGTTAGTTTAATTACAGACATTTTATGTAGATTGAGATGATATGTTGGCTTGGCTGCATCAGTAAATGGGGGCGGTTGCACCTGCTATAGAAAAGCACTGGTCATTTCTAAACAGAAGGTCATTGATGCCCCTATATATGTGTTGTGTATCTCCAAGAAACAGCTATTTAAATGAAATAAAAATAATAAATAAAACACAGCCATGCACTTCACATTCGAGATGAATATGTTTTGATATTCCCAGTAATCCTGGATCACATTCACGCTGCTGTTGTCTACTTCGCTCCACAGAAATAACAATTTTGTCAACAGAGCTGAAGAGAGACCACCCACTTTTTCAGTGGCTCTGGTTCCAGAAGTAAAAATCCCATTCAATTTCTCCATAGACATTTCAGGACATTTTTAAATAAAGAGTTTTAAGCATCCAACAAAACCGACCGGCTATGAGATCAATCATGACGTTACAGACATTCAGAGGAAAAAAGTTTTGAAAAACAGGCAAAATCGGCACAGGTATAAGACTTATTAAGATATAATCATTTTTAAGGAACTACTCATCCCAAAAAGCACTGCGAATGATGTCAACCAATCACTTTTTCTCTTCCCACTTCCAACTGTTTTCAGCTAATATTTTCAATCACAATAATTTTCCCTCTTCTGTTTTCCTGCATATATTTGTGATTTTTATCTGTAAACTGTTGTTGGACTAAATATTTTAAAGCTAAAATATATTTTAGATATTTTGCAAAGTATAGTATAACAGTAGTATAGTATTGACTGCCATCAAGGTTTCCTTTTACCTGTGCTATAAAGCATTCTGTTGATTCACATCCTCACATTCTCAAGCAAAGAAAAAGAAATAAATACAGAGAAACATATGTGGACATCATAATGAGAATTAGGGTAAAAATGGCAAAAAACTTTTCAAATAAAAAAATGAACTTTTTGCTGTACCATATAGAGCTCAAACTGATGCACTAAATTACGTGAATTATCAATATTTATCTACATGATGCTTATGACACTCAAATGTTTATGCACGTTTTGAGGCAGTTTCATGAGAATGACTCTAACATCAGCCCGTACATAATTAATATTTAAAAATTGAAACAAACTCCATAACTGCCAGTTCCTAAACTCAAATAAAGTTCAAAAACTCTTAATAAACAGAAGAAATTCACATATTTAATGTTAATATAAATATTGTAGCAACAGGGGTGAGGTTCCCTAGTATTCTTAGCTTATTTCCCATCACTTCTCCTCATGGTAACGTGTCGTGTTCTCATAACGCTGAAAGTAGAACCTGTATGCATTTTACATGTTTTTGGTAATGCAATTATGATGTCTTGTATTCAGGTTTATCAGGTCAGCCTGTAAAACTATGAATAATAGAGTAAATTATAACAAAGCCTGTCATAAAAGCTCCGTTAAGATTGTCATAAATAAGTATTTCATTACAGTACATTTATATTGCAATACAACATGACACAAGCTGTTTCTAAATATAGAAGATCTATCAACAGAGTTTTCACTGATACCAATTAATCTATGTATCCTTATATTGGCTGATTTTATCGGACAAGAGATTCATCAGCCGAGTCTCAGTGTGTGCATGTGTTGGTGTAGAGCTTCTCTCACCCTGGCCTGAGCGGCTGGGGCTGGTCTCTCGGCTGCAGCCTTGACTGCGGGGGATCTTACTGCGCTTCTCAGAGGTGGTCCCACTGCCTGTGGCATGGTGGACTTTTCCATACGACTGACCAATGAGCTTCCCAGGAGAGCTGGAGCGACTCCCAGCTGTACACACACAAACAGAGAGCGTGAGTGATGGACAGAAACATCAGTAAAAAGTATCTAAAAAGTGCATCATACAGTACTGTGGAAATCAGAGACCACCCTTCATTTATTTACCATCCAGTCAAAATGGCTGTAAAAAACAGAAAATTACAAAGAAGCCTCAACACCTAAATATAAAATTTTTATAACAAATTTAGGGATACACAGTTGAAACAGGTGAAAATTAATATTGGTCAAATTACTGGTTTTATTTTGGCAGATTTGTGTTGCAGTTTTATGACTCAAACAACGTAATGCCAGGTAAGTGCGCTCAGACTGTATTTGCGTGGTGCTGCTACATCTAAACCAAAATGTTGTCGCATAAATATACAGGAGTGATGACCCTCTGGGCCATCTGGTTTGTTTTGCTTGAGTTTGTTGCAGGTGAATTTGGGAGGCAGAGCATGGACGTGATTGGCTATTGAGACACACCGGCACGCAGGTGTTTGGTCTCATTTAAAAGGCTTTCCAATGTGGATAGCAAGAGATTTTTTTTTTGCCTCTCTCTCTTCTGTAGGTAAAATTTCAGGTCAACTTGGGGTCAACGTTGTTGGGGATCCAGCAAACTGGCTTAGCTGGAACGGGCTTTAACCACTAGTGGTTTGATCACTTCAGTAGTGCTATCTTTTTGGTTTGTAAAACTAAAGACTTGTTTTTGCTGTAACTTCCACTCATCGTCTCCCTCAACTGTTTGTTGTAAACTGTCCGAAAACCGGTTCGTGACACATGACTCATTGCGCTAGATAGCCAGCTGCCTCTTACTTTCAATGCATTCAATTTATTTGACATATTATTTATGTATGCAACTCATTTAAAATTGAAATTTTTTTAATTGCAGTTTGGCAGATCAAAGAGCAAAAATGTGTGCTTTATGCGTTCACTTATCCCACACAGTGTGATAAAAACCCCAAAAAATTCATGATCAAACTCATTAGTGTGTCCACTCTTTGTCTTTATGGCAGCTTCCCGTTCTTTTCGTGAGACTTGCTTCCAGTTTTTCGCAGAAATCTTCAGAGATATTTTTCCACCCCTCTAAAGTTCAGTCTTAGAAGTTGGTTGTATTTTCTGCTTCTCATGGTCCAAATAATCCCAAACACATTCAATGATGCTGAGGTCTGGACTTTGGGGTGGTCAGTCCATCACTCTCAGAACAGCAATAGCTTCTTTGCTTCATTTGCAAATTTTTTTTTTTTTTTTTTCTATTTTGGACGGCAACAGTGGGCGGCACGGTGGCACAGTGGGTAGCGCTGTCGCCTCACAGCAAGAAGGGCCTGGGTTCGATTCCCGGCCGGGTGACCAGGGTCGTTTCTGTGTGGAGTTTGCATGTTCTCTCCGTGTCTGCGTGGGTTTCCTCCGGGTACTCCGGTGTCCTCCCACAGTCCAAAGACATGCGGTCAGGCTGATTGGACATGCTAAATTGCCCCTAGGTGTGAGTGTGTGAATGTGTATGTCTGTCTGTCTGCCCTGCGATGGACTGGCGACCTGTCCAGGGTGTATCCTGCCTTCTGCCCAGTGACAGCTGGGATAGGCTCCAGCACCCCACCGCGACCCAGAAGGATAAGCGGTTTAGATGATGGATGGATGGATGGACGGCAACACCTGTGTATTTTTTCAGATCTGAATCAAGAGTGGAGCTTGATTTTCTCCTCTCTTTCAAAGATGAAAGCTTTAAGTGCTGTTTATCTGATGGATAAGTGGATTATCTTATATCTAATTTCCTCTAAACTATCCCCTGAAAAATGAATAAGTTAATGGCTGTTTTGACTGAAAATTAAATAAACGAAGGGTGGTCTCTGACTTTTTCTTAGTATTGCATAAATTATGGCACCACATAATGAATAACATCCACAGTATAACACAGTGTATTTGGTTTTTATGGATCGAGGACATGCAAAAAAGTTATTACAGAAGCCATAAAATAACAAAAAAAGCAGACTGACCACATCAGCACTAACAAATTCAACACTGCTAGATAACAGAAAATGACAGACATCAACATACAATGAAAACAAAGGGAGAGAGTTAAGTAAATAACTCTTCCTTTCTCACAAAATAAACATCTAGCTGATGTGATATGGGGTCATGCTTCAAGGACTACAGTAACACATGGGCATGAGGGTTCACAGGCATTCAGACGACAGGGTATGAGTAAATACTGGACTGTTAAGTAAGGCTGCTGTACCATGAGTCTTACCACCTGCCGGATTAGCTGATCTGGATCCTTATGCATGAGCAGCACACAAGGCAGCGAAGGGCGTTCCGTTACACAAAGTCATGAAAGTGAAACTTCATTACACAGCATGCATTGGGCAGGTCATAGTACTTGCATAAACAATCACCAGTTGTTGCCATGGGCAACAACGTAAAGCATGCTGATGTTTACGATGTAGCATAGAAAGAGAAACTGGTCTTTCTGAGCATCAGCAGAGCAGAGCTTATAATTCATACCACTTCAGTAAGAAATGGTATGACTGAAATGCAGTGAAACAAAAGATCGCTGCACTAAAAAGAGGAAAACGTCCATCGTCATTGTATAAAGTCCCTGACTGAAAATAAAAACATTATAGGAGTGAACTTACGCTGTGATTGAGAAACCACTTTGGCTCGGCTCCGCCCCCTACTGTCTGTAACAGAGGCTCCACCCCCGACGCTGCTGCCTGAACTCTGTCTCCGGGTCCGGACACGACCTAGAGAGAGAGAGAGAGAGAGAGAGAGAGAGAGAGAGAGAGAGAGAGAGAGAGAGAGAGAGAGATTGAATACACTGTGTGAACAGAGCACAAATGATTCAACCTACTTAACAATCCTCTATACAAAAACAGATATTTATGCTTATGAAAATATTGTTCCACAAGACAACACAGCACTTCAGCGCTAACGCTAACAGTGAGATATACAGTACTGTGAAAAAAGTCAAAAGCCACCCTTCATTTCACAAGTTATTTATTTTTCAGGGGATAATTCTGAGGAGATTAGATATTAGATAAACCACTGGCATCAGAAACGGGAAATTAAAAGGAAAATAAGTGTAAAAAAAAAATGAGTTTCCAAAAATGGAATGAAAAAGTTGTTAAAACATACACAAAAATGGCACTGCAGAGAAAATGGGAAGCTGCTAGTGTTCTCAGAACAATGGACTATCCACACCAGAGTCCAGGCCTCAACATCACTGAATGTGTTTGGGATTACTTAGATTGCGAGAAGCAGAAAATGTAACCAACTTCTAAGACTGAACTTTAGAAATGTAGAAAAACATCCCTGCAGATTTCTTTGAAAAACTGAAAGCCAGTGTCCCAAAAAAATGGAAGCTGTTAAGGAAATTATGTATAGTCATTGAGGGTCCTTTGTCATTTTCAGTTAAAATGTTGTCTGCTCTTTTTCCTGGCTCTGAAAAATGAATAACTCTTAAGTAATAATTTCCATTTTGACTGGAAACTAAATAAATGAAGGGTGGTCTCTTACTTCTGCACAGTAGTGTACTACGAATTACTGTAAACCTGCTAACAAGTAATAATTTTAATCTATATAATAATAATCTTAATTTCTAATAATCGTACATAGTAATACCATAAATCAGTCGACATGAATATCCATTCCATAACCTATAGATCTGACCCTGTATGTACACAATGTACAGGGTCTACAACCAACATTAGCATCACGATGAAATACAGATGCACAAAGAATACATGGACATACATGGACAACTGAAGCCTAATGTTCACCCTCTGAAATCTCACTACTTTATTACAAACCAGGTCTCTAAACACTTTTGCTCAGCCCCTCACATATACACCGATCAGGCATAACATTATGACCACCTCCTTGTTTCTACGCTCACTGTCCATTTTATCAGCTCCACTTTTCTCTGTTTCTCTGCATACTTTGTCAGTCCCCTTTTAACCTGTTCTTCAGTGGTCAGGACCCCCATGGACCCTCACAGAGCAGGTACTATTTGGGTGGTGGATCATTCTCAGCACTGCAGTAACACTGATGTGGTGGTGGTGTGTTAGTGTGTGTTGTGCTGGTACAAGTGGATCGGACAGAGCAGTGCTGCTGGAGTTTTTAAACACTGTCCACTCACTGTCCACTCTATTAGACACTCCTACCTTGTCAGTCCACCTTGTAGATGTAAAGTCAGAGACGATAGCTCATCTGCTGCTGCACAGTTTGTGTTGGTCATCCTCTAGTCCTTCATCAGTGGTCACAGGACGCTGCCTACAGGACGCTGTTGCCTGGATATTTTTGGTTGGTGGACTATGCTCAGTCCAGCAGTGACACTGAGGTGTTTAAAAACTCTAGCAGCACTGCTGTGTCTGATCCACTCAGACCAGGGCAACACACACTAACACAATACCACCATATCAGTGTTACTGTAGTGCTGAGGATGATCCACCACTCAAATAGTACCTGCTCTGTGAGGGTCCATGGGGGTCCTGACCACTGAAGAATAGGGCAAAAGGGGACTACAGTCTGTAACTGTAGAACTACAAAGTGCACCTATATAGTAAGTGGAGCTGATAAAATGGACAATGAGCGAAGAAACAAGGAGATGGTCATTATGTCATGCCTGATCGGTGTATAACAAAATGAAAACATGCTAACCACTACAGTCGTAACTGATCTGCAGGTATCCAGCGCCCAGTACAGTCAGTTTGGATCATCAGCAGACCACATGCAGGTAGTCCATGCAGACTTGCACAGATGTAGTCTAATCCAGTCGCAGCAGAGATGCCCAGCTTCAGTGCTGGTGGATCACAGTTTAGTGTTTTCCCTGTACTAAGAAATGTGCTTCATTTCAGCACTAAAGAAATATTCCAGCATTATTCAAGTTAATTTGCTACAGATGCAGCAGATCGGGTTTAGCTTGAAAAATGCTGGAGGATTATTTTAAGTCAATCAATAAGTGTGTATGTAAATCAGCTGTGTTGGAACACAGTCCAGGACTGGAGCTGGGCATCCTGAAATCACAAGTTTACAGTAAACGACACAGAATGAGAGACAGGGAGGAGGACTACAACACAGAGACCCTCACTCCACACAGACTTGGTGTGCACACATACACACAGACCTTACCCTCCACATTACCAGGAGTAGCATCTTAGGTCAAATAAACCAAAGGAACCAAAGAAAAAGCATAACAGGATGATATTAGCATTATGGCTAGAAGAAAGTGGCAGGTGTTCAGAGGGAATTATGTTATAGATTTCAAATTAAATGTATTATTCTAAAAACAAAAAGTTACTCAGGCTCATCCATCAAGCAGCACAGTGTGTAATACAGTGGTTCAAACCCAGACGCCCCTAGTTATGCAGTGCACAGTTAAGAATTTACTGAGCTCTAACAGACCTGATTCAAATCAAAATTACTGATTCAACACACAATCAGTCGATGGGAAACACTAAACAATGCTGTCCTGGGTTCCTCTAAGATTGTGAATCACTGCAATACTGACATTAGCACCAAACAGGCTCTCGCACTTATTTAGCATCCTTCTCTGTTTACCATCTGCCATTGTGCTGTTATATAAAAAACACATCTGCCTGTACAGTTGTAATGTGTTTACCCAGTGATGCGTAGGAGCCGGGGGGCAGTGCTGTGGCTGAGCTGAAGGGGGCAGCAGCGGGTACAGTGGGCATTCTTGACTTGGCACTGGCAGCCGCGTTTACGTCGATATCACTGCGAGATCGCTGCAGCGAGCCAGGCGTGGATGACACTTTAGAGGTAACTACTTTAGCTGAGAGAGAGAGAAGCAGAAAGAGAGATACAATGATAACACTAGCTACAGTCTATTTTAACACTACTGTGCCAAAGTCAGAGATCACCCTTCATTTACTTCACGTCCAGTCACAATATCCTCTAAAGTACAAGTCAGTGTTAAAACATAGCAGAAAACATATATTTAACTTATGGCCTTTAAGCCTCAACAACTAAATATAATTTTATCAGTACTGATAAAATGTCCACCCCTTCAGGAGACTTGAAAAACTGCAGAGATATTTTCCTCTAAAGTTCAGTTGATCAAGTTGGTTGCATTTTCTGCTTCTCACAATCCAAATAATTTCAAACACATTTAATGATGTTCAGGTCTGGACTCTGGGTGGTCAGTCTCCTGTTCTGAGAACACCAGCAGCTTCTTTGTTTGGCTTCTTAACAGCTACACGTCCTTTCAGACCCATAGGGTTGAGTTGTCTTCTCACAGTGAAAGGATGGACAGAAACACCTGTAGAATTTTTCAGCTCTGGAGGAATAGAGGAGCTTGATTTCCTCCTCAAAGATCAAATTTGTACTTAATGGCTGTTTTGACTGAAATGAATGAAGAGTGCTTTTGCACAGTATTGTATATAAAAAACACTGATATATAATGCTGGTCACTTTAGACCAGTGCACCAGTGACCAGTGGCAGCATTTCAACAGAATAATAGGATTATCAGCTTGTAATTTCAGTCACACCAGTAAGGAAAAGAATGCGCTCTTACTTCTGGTTACACTGCTTCCTACGGGGACTTTTGCAGACAGCGGCCTACTGAGAGAGAGAGGGAGAGAGAGAGCGAGAGGGACAGGGCAATAGAGAGGGAGAGAGATGAGAGATGGAATAATTGAAAGTGAAAGCCTAATAGTATCACTGAATGTTACATGAAAGTCCACTATTCAGTTGTGCTCGATTCATGTCTTACTTGAGGCTCTCCTGGGAGCTGGAGGAGGAGCGGTCAGATTGCGGGAGGGACATAATGCTGTCTGAACTCTTCAAATGAGACTGCAGAGCCTTCTGATAGGTCAGCTCAAGAGCTTGAAACAGCTGTTCAGCCTCCTTACTGAAGTGGCCATGGAAGCCCCAGTAACACCTGGAAAGGGTGAAGGAGGGCAAGCAGGTCACAAATAAATCAACCCATGCTCCGCCCACAGATTCACTTTCTCATAGAAACTGCTGCTAATCTGCACAAGCTTTACAGAACCATGGCATTCATTTCACTCAAGCTGGATGATGTTGCTACATGACATTAAGTTTCCAATTGAAAATCCTATGATACTGAGCTGTTGTTGTTGCTAATTGAAGCTAGACTGGTTGGAAACATCAACAAATTTGTTTGATAATGTTGCCCAATTACACAACAACATCGATCTTAGCAGTGTGACTCTTCACATGCATACAAAACAAAGATCATCTTAAAATATAAGGGCCCATTTCATGGAAAACCAAATTTTCCTCATTCGTTAAATAAAACAGCTTGATGTAGTATGCAAACATCGTTTAAGGAGAATTCCACCTTTTTCACTAAATGAAATGGTTACAAACATGTTGCCTGATACCTTATAATATTTATTATACTTTTGAGAATGTTATGGCCTAAAACATATTTTTATAATCCATTAATGGAGGAGAGGTACATGCAGTATTAGCACTATTTTACCATTACTTTAACATTACATATAAGGTTCACTGGTGGTTTTGGACAGCAAATAAAAAGGCTATATTTGCATTTTAGACATCACAAGCCTTGGTTCTTGTACCCACCACTGTACAGTGGTGGGTACAAGAGTTAGTAAATCTTAGTATCTTTTGTATCTAATCTTTTGTAAGCCTTTCTTTATATCTCAATGAATTAAGCAGGAATTTTGAAAAATTGGTGGAATTCACAGTGTACCGCTCCCTCCCCACCAACCTAGCCCATATATATGGAAACTAAACTGCGAATACAGCGCATTCTGAATGAACTGTTTCTGTGAGGCCATAAAAAAACAACATATTTGCATTTATCCACCTATTCAGCCAATAGCAGTTTAGCTCTGCCCATTCATGCTGAAGTAACAAGGAGTGTTTCAGGCTGGACTGCCTTTTGAATGAGTCACAGAGCTCATTTACATGTATCAGTCTTAAAAGCACAGTAACAAAAACAGCCTCTTTAATTCTATGAGCTAAAAAAAGACAGAAAAAAGGTCAGGCAAAATTTAATTATAATGAATTATTAATTAATTATAAATGTTGTCCTCAAGGAAAAAATAACAAGGGAAAAATGTAAGATATGGGCCCTTTAATAACGCACTGTAAGTTTCTGCATTTTAACAAAAACTGAGTTGCGCACTACAGTTTATCTGAATGGGATTTTAGCATCATCATTCCTGCCTAAAAAATAAGTACCTTCAAAATGGCAAAAGCTGCAAAAATGTTTTCATCATAAAATTCTTAAACAATGTAAAGCACAGCTGTAAAGGACAAGTTGAGATACATCTTATATTCTGAATTATATGTTCTGTAAAAGTTTCCAACCAACAGCATTCATGGGAAGATTCCTACAAATGCAACTGCCAGTGATGTGAACCCAGATCACCTACTTTCTGGCAACAGATCTTGCTTCAGAGTCTGCGTCGTGAACTCCTTTCTTAATGGTCTCCATCAGGACAGCTACATGCCTGAGCACAAAAGAAACAAACAGGCCAAAGTAAGTACTGGTAGAAATGGATCCTAAATCAATAGAAGGGTTTTCTCTGCCCCCCTCCTGAAACCACATGCGGGCTTCTTTTACTGCTCTAAAATGCTCTCAGTCCTGACCATGATGTGCACACAGGAAGTCCAATGCTTACCCATGGCAACCGCTCAGGCTGATAGAAGTGTAGCAAATCGAGGGTTGATCAAGGACATGAATACGATGTGTGTGTATATGGGAGTTTCCAGCACCCCTTCTGTGAGTGTGTTCATCCTGTGTTGTGCCATTTTACTATTATGAAGTTAAAGCATTAAAACTAGAGCCTGTACACACTGGAGTTGCTGATTTTAGAGCTGAATCCAAATTTTTACCAATATGCTAAAACTGAAAGGTAGCCAAAGGTATTCTGCTGTTTCAACATTTGATAACAATATATCATTGCTTTTGGACAAAAACCTTGTATTTCCAAAATAGTAACGTTACAGGACAATAAAGACCACTTGACTTGTAGTCCAGCATATGATGGCCTTACCTCTCCAGAGAATTTGTTTGCCATTCCTGCAGTAAACGGTCTAAAAACTCGTAACAGCGCCTGAGAGCAAAAAAAGTATTAATTAATTCAACAGTAAGACAAACGATGGTCACTAAGAGAATGTGGTGGTCAGTGCTGGCCTTACCGTCGGACAGCTACAGATTTGGATGTGCAGTTGCTGGTCATGATGGGGATGAGCCGAGGGTAGTGTGTGTGCTAGAAGAAAAAATACACACATACACCACCACTCAAAAGTTTGGAATCACTTTACAATCATATTAATCATTTTTATTATTTTATATAAATCTTCTATATGAATCACATAAAATTTCCATACTGACAAAAGTTTTCAATTTTTAAGACAATCAAAAAGGCTCCTTTGCACCGCTCAGTGCTCTGCGCTGTTTTGTCACATTTAAAAAGCCCTGTTTAGGGTTGCCAGATTGGACATATATATGTATATACTAAAAAATACCATATGTAGATGTAATAATAATAATATGATCTATATGTATCATTATACATGGAATTTTCATGATATTTCAAAACTTTCAAATTGTCTCAGGCCTATGAAAAATACATTGTAATTATGCATTTTTACATTTTTTTTGTCAAGATTGCCTTGAGATTTGATGAATATTCTGGCAACACTTGCAATGCTGGATATTCATTTTATTGTTATTTTATTAACTTACAGTTATTTTATTAACATACTAGGTGCCGTACAGCTCAGTCTATTTCTCATTATGGACACACCTAAAATATATATTTTTTAGCTTCCTACAGATCATTTTATTCATATATTTGCAACCAATTAGTGATACATGATTGAAAAATGTGGACTTTTGAATGTTAGTGTACACACAAAAAGTAACAACTCAAAAAGCTGGACCAAAACAGCTATTCGAAACATTTACCCTTAAAATTCACGCAACAATAGTTTAACAGGTACAAATTAAATGTGACAGAGAGCAAATGAAAGAGTCTGGCTCTTGGCTGTGATACAACAACTATCACTGTCTATCAAAGCTTCCTCCACTGATGAACACAACACACTGCCAGCGTGTTGGCACAGACGCACTTTATGTTCTGATCAATGCCATTGATTTGGCTGTTGTTTCCTCAGATTCAACGACCTGCTGCACAGGAAACAGTAAATCTGCCCTTTAATGGTTGTGGGATTAGACAGCTCAGACAACACTGCCTGTGTGTGCGCGGGTTTGTAGAGCTGTGGTCTTTTTTTGGGTTATTTTTTTTATCTCAATTTGTATAGGACTCGGTTTTGACTCACATTTCTGCCTCATTTAGTCATGATCTTGACAGTTAATCATCAACGTGAAATGTTAAAGTGTATTGCACTTTTCTTATTCTTAAGGAAATTCAGATATTCATAATAATATTCAATAGATTATCCAAAACTTAACATATTTATTAGTTACTCTATTTTTTTTTTTCAAAGACAGAAACACCCAAAATGTATAACCACCAGCATAATCCTGCAATTTAAAAAATGACATTCCAGGATAACATTCAAAAATGACATCTGAATAGCAAAAATAGTTCCAATGTCCATTCCTGCACTGGTGTTGAGGCTATCCTCCGTGTTGTGTTGAGTGGTTTTTTCTGTGCTGCTTTCTTTCTTGCTTTCTCCTCCGTCCACTCTTTGTCCTCTCTCATAGCCGACTGTCACTGCTGATTCATGCTTAATCGGCCAAGAATGATGACTCAAAATGACGAGGACAGACTGAAGTCAACAGGTGCTGTACACACCCCACCGACTACAGGCCACCGTCGGCCACCACTGCTCACCAATTGTAGCCGATGGTCAAGAGTCAGCTTGGCCCAGTGCCATTTCACCCCTTGCCCACTTAGCCCTTACCCCTCGGTTTTGCGCTCTCACGTTTAGGGGTAGGGTGTCCTGATTTTTGTTGAGATAGAGGGGTAGGGCGAAGTGGTAGGGCTGCATGGCAGTTCCAAATGGTGTGTTATGAGAAAAAAAGAAAAACTGGAAGATGGCTGTGCGAGAGACACACTTTGTATAGAAGATCAGATTGTAAATGAACCTGTAAGTTATTTAATATTCAGATGTAGCACTATAGTTTACAACGTTTGTATACTTCAATATAGATATTACGCTTGTTGTACTTGGTCTTTTTCTGTTGTTATGACTCTCTACCATATACTCACTCGTATAATAAGGCGGATGGCTGCAACGCCAGATGTGGCCATGACTTTGGCACTGTTAGGGACGAGGTTGAGCAGCGTGGGCATAATGGACTCTGCTCCGTGGTCAAACTTGTTGCCCAGAGTAGAAGATAAATGCCTAAAGGATGAAGAATACATCAGAGATCATTTAACACACTTACTGAACTCAAACAATTAGTCAAAACAATCAGTCTTCTCTGAGAACATTCATCTTTATCTTGTTATTTCTAATGTCTGGCTATAATGGGTCTAAATGGGTCATGTGTATATGTGGTATGTGTGCATGTGTGTGTCTGCATTTGTCTATGCACTCAAATTGCCTTCGTCACTATTTTCCATCAAACACAAAGTAATGTAATGCAAGAAGGTTAATAGCCATTTTGGATCTGATTCAACTTAGTAAATAAAAGCCCTTAAAATAATTGGTCTTGTCCATTATAGCTCTTTAGAAGCCCTCGGTGGTCCACCAATTCATTCTTCCTCTTTAAACATCATCCATTCAGTCTGTGGAACAGTAAGCCAAACGTACCCCAGCGTGATGCAGGCCTCGCGGACCACCTGCGAGCGCAGATCTTTAGCGGACAGTTTGAAGGCGCCCTCTAGCTGCCGCAGCTGTTGGAGGAATCCCTCATGGTCCGTGGCCCCCGCAAGCAACAGCGAACGCACCTTCTTCAGCTGCATGACAGAACGTGAGAGAGAACGATATTAGCTGATATATTAGTTCATTAAAATAAGAACAGTACTGCATGAAAGTCAGACACCACTTTTCATTTATTTAATATCCAGTCAAAACAACCATTAAGTGTCCATGTCTCAGGAGATTTTTAGGAGATTAGATATAAGAAGATTAGATGTATGTGCATGAAGAACGGGAAAGTCAGCAACTCCCAACAACTGTGCAAACTTGGTAGACCACCAAAATTGTCATCAGATAAACAGCAATTAAAAGCTTTTATGTTTGAGAAAGAGGAGAAATTCAGGCTCCACTCTTGCTTCAGATCTGAAAAACATCCACAGGTGTTTCTGTCCATCCTTCCACTATGAGAAGACAACTCAGTGCTGTGGGTCTGAAGGGATATGTAGCTGTCAAGAAGCTCTTACTGAGAAAAGAAAATTAGTACTCGAACACTAGGACTAGACGTCTCATATGAGGAATAAGGTTTTATGGAGTGATGAGTACCTGTGACTGCATGGACTGTGAAAAGAATAAAATTCTAACTTCTAAGACTGAACTTTGAAGGTGTAGAAAAATATCCCTGAAGATTTCGTTGAAAAACTAAAAGCAAGTCTCCTGCATTGAAGTGCTGAAACTGTAAAAAAGACAAAGAGTAAACACACCAAGCACTGAAAAGTCCATTATTATATTTAGTTGTTAAGGCTTGTGTGTAATTTTCTTTTAAATATATTTTTTTTCTTCCTGGTGCTGGAAGTTATTTAATGACCATTCTGACTGGAAATTGAATAAAGTGGTCTCTGACTTTTGCACAGTACCGTATATTCACAGTAGGGCTGGGCAATATGACAATATAAATTATGTCACAATACAATACACTGTGCTTTTCTGGACATATCATGGACATCGTCAGTGCTTGTATGACCAAGTGCATGTTTGATTATGAAGAAAGCAAAATTAGTCTCGTTTAACTGGATTTAGTGCAACACAGTATATAGAACAAAGAGTAAAAAGAAATCACTGTATTACACTCTATTATATAGTATTTTTAAAATGCATAACTTCTACTTCTTTTTTCTCTGTTCCAAAAAAAACGGAGAAAAAATTCAATGCTGAGCTTTAAGCTCTTCAACCAATAATGAGACGAGGAGGGGCAGGAAATGAGCTCACCGCAGCCACTCTGTGCTCCCAGTCATGTTTGTCGTCCGAGAGGACCTCTCGGATCTTATTCATGGAGTCCTCCAGCTCTCTGCTGGAGTAAATCTGAAACAGGCACACAGCACAATCATCAGTTCAATCTATCGAGAGGGCAACAGGACCAGAGCTAGACCTGGCAGTCCTCCAGCCTACACCGATCGAAAGTGCAGTGGCCTCAGTGGCCTTTCGATCACTGTTACAGTGACAGACTGGCACAGGAAAGCAACAATCATAGTAACGCATCATATTACAGATGGAAAATAAGGCAAGCTTGTTCTTTCACTGAGCCTTTCAATGTTTCAACCAACAAGTTTTCTCTGCTTTTTAATATTTATAACAAAGAAAGCACAGCCAAGGCCAAGAGAGGCTGAGGGCTTATTTAAGCTGAGTAAAATGGCAGTTAGATATTCTTGTTGGTTCAAGGCAGAAACTGGAGAGCAACAGAATCATAAGATTATACACACAGATGCAGCAACAGCGAATACACTATATGTCCAAAGGTTTGTTGACATCTGCTTATCCAACACTTCTCCTGAAATAAAGGGTATTAATACAGAGTTTTTCACTTTTGCTGCAGAAACAGCCTTCAATGTTCTGGGAAGGCTTTTCACTAAAGGATCTGATTGCATTCGGAGAAGCATTAGTGAGGTCAGGTACTGATGTTTGACGGTTGGTCCTGGATCACAAACACCACTATAACTCATCCTAAAGGTATGGGAAGGAGCTTCATCTTACAAACATAGTTCCCCTGTTTCACAGCCCAATGCTGGTGGCTTCACACCTTTCTAGCCAACATTTTGCATTGGGCATGGTGACCCTAGGCTGATGTGTGTCTGTTCCAGAGCATCCCATTCTAGTGGCAGTGTTTTTCTATGGAGATTATACAAGCTGCACCTTAAAAAATCTGAACTCTTCAATAAGACAGCGTGTCTAGGTACATTTGGACATGTTGTGTATGTAGATCTGTGACTGAAACCTCAGGCTATCTCATCTCATAAATAAAACAACGGAAGCAACTTCTTTAAAACTACAGCTGGAAGTAAAAGTCAGTGTGCATTTGTGTAAAGTGGGTTTCACCTGTATCGTGGGCACATCCTCAAAGGCACGGATGAAGTCGTCCTCATCCACAGCACCAGCACTGGGGCCCTCTTTACCTGTGGACAGGAGCAGATACATATGTGTAAGTCAGAGGGATTTAACCTCTGCAAGTCACAGCTATCACCATGATAACAAATGTGTGGTGTAATTTTAATCTTAGTTATTTCTCATATGTAGCTCACTGAAACAAGAGTAGAAATTTGGCCAGAAGAGTAGACCCTTTCAAATCATAATATATGTTTGTAAGTAGAAAAGGAGTTATGTTATTATAATTTAAATGATCTGAAAGGGTACTGTTGTATGTAAAGTCTTGTTTTCCAGGAAGAAAACAAAAACAAAAGAAAAACGTGATCAAAAAAACAACCTGTCAATTCAAAATGTAAACTGAATGAAAATCCAATGCATAAAAGCTATGTGATTGATTATGTAATTATGTTAAATCACATTACATTTTAAGAGTGGGTTAAAACAACAGCAATAGCTCTAGACTTGTTAAATATGATCCTATTACAGTAAATATAACCGTACTTTAGCAGTCACCATTTTGTGCTCCCTTGCACTATTCACAATTTCCCAGATAAGACAGTTTTAGGGGTGGGGCTAACCTGTGCTCTTGGTGCTGGAGGCAGAACTTGGCCTGCGCATAGATCCTGTTCGCCGCGCTGATGACGCTCCCTTAGAGGAGGCAGAGGAACGCCCTCCGTCCACAGAGTCATCATCATCTATGTTCTTATCTGGAGAGACAGCAGAACCTTCACTTCAGATATGTATCTCATAATTGACTAGATCTTGGTTAGAAGAGAATATGTAAACAGAAGAATATTCAGAAGAACAGATGTTTCAAGAAAACAAATCAAACAACCCTGCTTGCTGCTCAGACTCTCTGACTGCAACTACAATTATTATCACAAATTACATCTCTCAGCATGTCTTCCTAAAAAAACTAACTACATTTTGTATTTGATTTTTGCCTCATCGGTGACAAAACGTTAAGAAAGAATGTGACTTTACATGTCTTGGATGTAAAACCCCGAAATGAGGTTCCACGGGGCTCAATATTTGGGCATTTTCACATATATTAGTAAGATAAACAGTTCAATTACAAAGTTACAATTACAAAATAAGATGAAAACAGGTTGGTAAAAATTACAAAAAGCTGTTAACTTGATTCAGGAAGTGCTACTGGTCCTACACTATGGTTGCAATATTTTAATGAAGACTACTCCTACAACATGGCAAAATGACAGTGCTTTCCTTTTTGATTTGTTTATAGTTTAGTTGCAAACTAAAAGCAAACAAAAAGGCCATAATTGTGATACATTTTTTCCCAAATTCTCACTTCAGTATTCTCTAAAAATAGTGTTAGAGATCCAAAATGAAATATTTATCTAATAAACATCTTCCCTTAGTAAGCAAATAAATTCTGCCTACTAGTAAATCAAACAGCTTTGGACATACTGTGTTTGGCTTTTCAGATCAGTGTGGTTGATGAGGTCTTAGGCCAGCTGTAATGCTTGGACTGCTCTTACTACAGCAGAGCTAAAGAAAACCTGAGTCAAACCTATTTTGACCTAGGTTACATGACTGGAACTAATTCCTTGACAGTTATTTTGATCTGCTGAAGCTGACATGCTAAGCTACCTGTGATGTGTTGTCATGCTAGGATTCCAGTCCTGAGATAATACCAAGCTAGCTGAGTGAAGCTGAAGGGTTATTGTGACCCCGCGCTATATATTTGTGTAAGGATAATAAATGCTAGCAGTGTGGTGATGTGAATGCTAGCCTCTCTGCAATGCGAATGCTAGGTTCACTGGAACTGAATGCTACTTCACTGTGATATAAATGATGTATGATAAACTGTGATGTGAATCTAGGTTGTAGTCTCCCAAGTCAGACTTCTGTCTGGTGTCAGAGTCTCATGCGTTGTGTCACTTAAGGCAGCCAAGAACGGCCTATTTTGACAGGACAGGCCATTTGACTGACATGTAATCAAGCACTGTTTTAACATGACGTGTAGGGGCTGCAACTAAAACAAATAGGTGGGAAACAAATGCATCAACAGTCTTGTAAGGATATCTCAGTTGAAGTGAAGGTTCAGAGTGATGTTAATGGTATATTCACTGAAATGTGAGTACTAGATTCACTGTAATATGAATGCTAGGTTCACTGTAATGTGAGTGCTAGGTTCACTGTAAGATGAATGCTAGGTTCACTGTAATGTGAGTGCTAGGTTCACTGTAATTTGAATGTTGATTCACTATAATGTGAAAGCTAGGTTCACTGCTAGTTTCATTTTTATCTGAATGCCAGATTTACTGAATATGAATTGTAGATTTACTGTAATCTGAATGCTAGATTTACTGTAATGTCAGTGCTAGATTCTCTGTTATGTGAGTGCCAGATTCACAGTGATGTGAGTGCTAGATTCTGTTATGTGAGTGCCAGATTCACAGTGATGTGAGTGCTAGATTCTGTTATGTGAGTGCCAGATACACAGTGATGTGAGTGCTAGATTCTGTTATGTGAGTGCCAGATTCACAGTGATGTGAGCGCTAGATTCTGTTATGTGAGTGCTAGATTCACAGTGATGTGAGCGCTAGATTCTGTTATGTGAGTGCTAGATTCACAGTGATGTGAGTGCTACATTCTCTGTTATGTGAGTGCTAGATTCTGTGTGATGTGAATGCTAGATTCACTGTGATGTCAGTGCTAGATTCTCTGTAATGTGAGCGCCAGATTTTCTGTGGTGTGAATGCTAGATTCTCTGTTATGTGAGTGCTAGATTCACTGTGATGTGAATGGTAGATTTACTGTGCTGTGAACGTTAGATTCTCTGTGATATGCATGCTGGGTTCACTGCAATGTGAATGCTAGATTTACTATGATGTCAAAGCTAGATTCACTGCTAGGTTCACTTTAATGTGCTTGCTAGATTTACTGAATATGAATTCTAGATTCACTGTATCGTGACTGCTAGATTCACTGTAATGTGAATGTTAGCTTCACTGTGATGTGTATATTAGATTTTACTAATTGTGAATTCTAGATTCACAGTGATGTGAAGGCTAGATTCATTGCTAGGTTCCCTTTAATATGCATGCTAGATTTACTGAATATGAATTCTACATTCACTGTAATATGAGCGATAGATTCACTGCAATGTGAATATTAGATTTACTAAATATGAATTCTAGATACACTATAATGTGAACGCTGACTTCACTGTGATGTGAACGCTAGACTCACTGAATGCTAACTTCACTGTGACGTGAACGTTAGGTTTACTGTGATGAGCTAAGTTAGCTAGGCTAGCTTTGATAGGATGTGAAAACTAGGCTAGTCATGGTTGAGGGTCCCTCTCTGAAGGGCATTGTCTTTTTCAGCATGACCTTATCGTGGAAGTGCTGGGGAGGCATCGGCAGGCTATATAATTCCCCTTGAGCCGCACACGTGAGCGCTACAGCCCTGAAATGTGCCAGACCAGCAATCAATGGCAATGAATTATTCACACACACACACACACACACACACACACACACACACACACACACACATACCACATCAGCTTGGTGAAGACATCATTCATCATTCATTGCTAACAACACCTATTTCTCACTCATACTCCCTGTGACACTAACAGTTACTGCAGGTTGCTATTACATGGAAAATACCAGGCAGACACACATACACACATAAGCCTGCATCCTAGTTATCACATTTTCCACATGAGCAGAGAGAGTAGGGTCTAAAATAGTGTCAGATTGAATCGAAAATCAATTCACATTCCCAAATTATTATCACTTACATTTAAACAAAACAAGAACAGCCCGAACCAATAAAGAACACATGCTAAGCTACAACATAATAATAAAAAATACTTGTCTATCCTAAGCACATCCAGCCCTGTTGCTTATTTACACTGTCACTATGCTGCCACCCTCAGATGAAGATTAGCCACTATTCACGCCCTTTCATCTTTCACACCCAAAGCTGCTATTCTCTCTCTCTCTCTCTCTCTCGCTCCCTCCTTCCCTCCCTTCTGCGATGGAAAGAAACAGAGATGCTTACAGGCGCAGATCCTCCGGCATACCAGCTTCCTCAACATGCCGTCACACACTCGCGCTCGGCCTCATGCTGCCCCCGTCTCCACAGCCTGCCCCTCCCTTCCTCCCTGCCTGTGTGTGTGCTCTGCAGAGATGCTCTCACGGCCTCCTGTGTCCGTGTGTGTGTGTTCCTCTACGAAATAGTGTGTGCTCTGTGAGCGATTCATAGAGGCTCCCTCCCTGAGTGTGCGCATGTGTGTGTGTGTGTGTGGGTGTGTGTGTGTGTGTGTGTACTGGAGCACACCGGATCACACCGTTTGGTTGAGCTGTCACTTGTTAAGCCCCACCTCTCATTTTGACAAGGTGGGGGAGGGGGGTGACAAAGCTGGGGGAAGGGTCCACGTACACACACATAAACACATACTCACCCACACACACACACACACACACACACACACCCACACCATGATAACCACCTTCACTCACATTCACTCTTATCTGTAATTCAATTATATCTGCAAAAATACCCGTCCAATCAATTAACCTGTCAAATTGTTATTATTTTATACCCTTAATTACAATAATAGGGCCAAACGATCCAAATCAGCCAAGATTGTAAACGTGCTGAGTGGTGCTCCAAACAAGCAACTGGCAATCAGTTAATTCATTATTTTAAATTTGGCCGATCTGTGTTGCAATTTTATGATGTAAATAACGCCAGGAAAGGGGGGGTTACATAGCGCCCAACATGTCAGCCAGACGACACTCAGCGTCCAAAAAAAACACCACTCAGCATTTGGTTATTACTATTATGTACATTTTTTTTATTTGCATATTAAAAGTTTCATACCCCTGTATTTTACATACAACGTTTGTGTGGTTTTATGTAGCAAAAACAGCCATAATTTATTTTTACATGACCCTTTTCCAAACTCTCTTCATCCCTAAAAATTAAACAGGCTCTTTTTGTTACTGATGCATGTAAATCAGCTCTGTTCTGATTGGCTGCTCTGCATTTAGTCAAAAAGCAGTCCAGGCTGAAACACTCCTTATAACTTCAGCATAAATGACTAATGCAGGCTGAATAGGTGGACAGATTTAAATGCATTGATTTTTGTGACGTCACAAATTCAAAATGGGCTGTTTTTGCAGCCTAGTTGCCATATATGAACTGTAAGGAAAATATATATATATATATATATATATATATATATATATATATATATATATACACACACACATATATATATATATATATACACACACATATATATATATACACACATTTCAAACTTTTATTGAAAAAAAGGGTTTTGTATGACATAGGTCCTTTAAATATCATTATTATTATCCCTGCTTATTTCACTTTCTATTACAAAAGATGGAACAACTTTGGGTGTTTATAATGTGTATAATCATGCATATTCATAAATGTTTGCATTCCTATTCAGTGTTAAGGTTTAAGGATGCTCCTATGCCATTTTTAGCACTTTCCTGTGGAATAACAATAATGTATGAAAATATTTATATTTAATATAGATTATTTTTACTATTTAAAATATGCCTTTAGGGGTACTTTACACAGTAATATCTGTTTGTAAATATGTTATTAGCTAGTCATGTGTTTAGGCCGGGATTAGAAGCATCGTTTAGAAGCCTGGCCACTGGCTGAGTCAAGATGTGTAACCCAA